ATCTGCTAGTTCATTATTAATATCCTAATTAAGATAAAGTATGTAGAATGAAAAAGGGATTATTAAAAAATATTATTTCTCATAAAAAAATAATGTTGATCCATACACTATTCAATAAGTTATAGCATTATATAGTTAAAAATTAAAAAAATTAAATCGAGAATTTTCACACAATAATAGCATTCGGTAGCCATTTTCACCGTGAAGATAAAATAAAGTCCGAAATTTTTTTTTCGCATAATAAAGTAAATTACATTAGCTTTAATTTAAGATATATATAAAAGTGTCAGACCTTCCGGAACATTTTCAAAAGTTAAGTTGAAAAAGTTAATTTTTTTTGAAAAAGTTGTCATTTTCAATTCCCCCTTTGTGGGCAGGTTAAGGGTCANTCAGACCTTCCGGAACATTTTCAAAAGTTAAGTTGAAAAAGTTAATTTTTTTTGAAAAAGTTGTCATTTTAAATTCCCCCTTTGTGGGCAGGTTAAGGGTTAAATTTATGAAAAAAATATACCAAACGAAAGGTAATGATATTACACATTTATATAAAAAAGAATTATATTGATATGTTCATTTTTTAATAAGTTATGGAAGTTTTAAGAAAAAAAAGTGAAAAAATTTCGAAAATTAGCGATTTTTAAATTTGTAATTTTTTTGGATATTTCCCCCATTTGCGGGGAACGAGGGAATTTTTTTCAATTTTTAAGAGTAATGTCTTCGACTAGATACAATTTGTGATCTTTTGACGTATCATTGAAAGAAATTGGTTCGGTGAGAGCTGAGAAAAAGTGGTAACAGACACAAAAAAAAAAAAATAAACACATCTTAGTAAAACCAATACCTTCTCAGCTTCGCATCGAAGCTAAAATATTATTTTGACTTGTTAATATTTGAAAAATTTATGGCAGTTTTAAGTACAAAAAACATCCTTATGGAAGGTGATTTTTATCGTAAATATTACATTTTTTTTTAACTTCGACAGCAATTTGCACATAGTAGATAAGGTGTCGGGACAATTTAGCTTTAATTTTATATATGTTTAAAGAACGCAGTATTTCCGGAACACTTTCAAAAGTTAAGTTGAAAAAGTTCTATTTTTATATAATGTTTCAAGTTTTGAACGCCCCCTATATATGGGGAAATTGTCCAATTTTAATAAAAAGTATGTCAAATAAAAGATGTACTTATAATGTATTTAGAAAAAAAAATGTGTGATNAAGTTGAAAAAGTTCTATTTTTATATAATGTTTCAAGTTTTGAACGCCCCCTATATATGGGGAAATTGTCCAATTTTAATAAGAAGTATGTCAAATAAAAGATGTACTTATAATGTATTTAGAAAAAAAAATTTGTGATGATAATTACATTTTTCGAAAAGTTATAGCACTTTTAAGTTTAAGCACTTTTAAGAAAATTTAAAATCGAAAATTTTAACACAAAATTAGCGTTTTTTAACTACGGCAGCCGTTTACATGCAGAAGATAAAGTGTGGGGACAAATTTTTTATTTTCATTTGATAGTGCATAAAATAAGCTTTAATTTGATATATGTTTAAAGAACGCAGTATTTCCGGAACATTTTCAAAAATTAAGTTCAAAAAGATCTATGTTTTTTACAATATTTTAAGTTTTGAACGCCCCCTATATAAGGGGAAATTGTCCAATTTTAATAAAAAGTATGTCAAATGAAAGATGTACTTATAATGTATTTAGAAAAAAAAAATTTGTGCTGATATATACATTTTTCAAAAAGTTATAGCATTTTTAAGTTGAAAATTTAAAATCGAAAATCGAAAATTTTAACACAAAAATAGTGTTTTTTTAACTACGGCAGCCGTTTAAATGTAGAAAAAAAAGTGTCGGGACAAATTTTTTTTTTTCATTTTGTAGTACATAAAATAAGCTTTAATTTGATATATGTTTAAAGGACGCAGTATTTCCGGAACATTTTCCAAAAATTAAGTTCAAAAAGTTATTTTTTGTAAAAAAGTTACTATTTTAAATCCCCCCATTGAGCAGAATAAGTGTTAGATTTTCAAAAAAATGACATCAAATAAATGTAAATATCTAAGATTTTAGTATAAAAAAATTATGATGATTTGTTGATTTTTCAAAAAGTTATGGAAGTTTTAAGAAAAAAAAGTGAAANAAAAAAATTATGTTGATTTGTTGATTTTTCAAAAAGTTATGGAAGTTTTAAGAAAAAAAAGTGAAAAAATTTCGAAAATTAGCGATTTTTAAATTTGTAATTTTTTTGGATATTTCCCCCATTTGCGGGGAACGAGGGAATTTTTTTCAATTTTTAAGGGTAATGTCTTCAACTAGATACGATTTGTGATCTTTTGACGTATTTTTGAAAGAAATCGGTCCAGTGAGAGCTGAGAAAAAGTGGCAACAGACATAAAAAAAAAAAAAACACATCATAGTAAAATTAATACCTTCTCAGCTTCGCATCGAAGATAAAAATAATTATTTTAATAAACCTTAAAAATTATAAGGGGTTTTTTAATAAAAGAATAGAACTCCAACTTTAGTTATATAATACATGGATATGATACATAGAATGTTTAAAGTAAGGGAACAGGTTTCTAATTTTCTCATTGTTTCTAGCAACTAGCCTGTTTCCTTACTTACTGAACTCTCTCTATATTACATTTAAAATAATTTGTTAGAATAATATCACTACGCAGATAATACGTACAGAGAAAGTCAATTAATTTGAATTAGTATTTATACCGGTAACACAACGGTCGGTCAACAGTATAATAACGATAAGCTGACCCATCCGCTACTTTTCTATATTTGTGTATAATTACACATTACATTATACTTTTGTTTTCATTAAAAATTATCCGGAGGACAATACTCTTGTTTACTACTACGGACTTTCGATCCTATTTGGTCTATTACAGTGGCACATCTGGGGTTGCTATAGTAGACATTTGTTCCTCGCGAAAAAAGCATACCATTAAATTAAATCAAACTTTTAACAACATTAATATTAAGTGATTAATAATTTTTAATTTTGGAGTATGAATGTTTATTTATAAAATGTTTCCTAATATGAATTAAAAATAATAATACAACAGGAATTATTTATCAAAAAAAAAAAAAAAATTGCTAACGAAAAAAGGATATATTTCATTTTACTATAACGAAAATTAAATTATGAACTCTTAAGGTAGTCAATACAATTTCTATGTTCCTTAAAAATTGTTTAACCCTCTTTCAAATACTGAAATGAGGCTACTGGACCACTAATAAATTACTCCACCGTATTATTCATTAAATTGTAATGATTAATTTTTAATAGCTGATGCCGTCAATAAGTGATGTGTTCTTTAAATGTTATTGGAGAGGAGCCAATATCAACTGCACAGATCTTTTTCGGTTACAACGCACGGAGGAAGGATTTTGTTATTCGTTTAATAGTAAAACAGCTGAAAGAAATGAAAAGTAAAAATTATTTTATACTTCAACACACAAACTTTTTTTTTTAATAATCTAATTATGCGTTTGTAAGTTTTTATGAGCAATTCTAAGCCAACACTTATATTTGATCATGAGCATTAATTTTTCCAGCGATAGTGATAAAAATCCACCATTTCAAATGCCTAATGGATCATTAATGCCTCTGAGAAATAATGTTGGAGGGAAAATGACTGGGTTGGAAGTAATATTGAATGATATTGAAAATGATTCGATGCCACTTGATACACGAGCTAAAGGATTCAATGTAATTATTTATCGATAATTTTTTCTATATAATTATGTATCTATTACTTTGTAGCCTAAACTTAAAAATTCTTTTTAGGTTATTGTGCACACTCCTGAAGATTTTCCAGACGTGTCAGATAATTATAAATTATATCGAAATGCAGATAGATTAACATTATTGGCAGTGTCCGTTAGTAGAATTATCGCCGACGAATCTCTTTATAGAGTTTCTGAAAGTCGTCGAAATTGTTTTATGTGGAACGATAACATGATATCAAACAATAAAATAACAAGTCACAGTAACAATAAAAATAATTGTAAAAGCACTTGTCGACTACAAACTATTCGCAATTTATGTAATTGCATTCCGTACTTTTACAATGATAATAAAAGTAAGCAACTGATTTAGAATACCTTATATTGAACAATTAGTAGTGAAAATTCTTAATTATTAGTGTTGTTATATTTCAAGTATACCTAATAAGTTCATTTTATACAAGATGATCTAAATTTGGAAAACATATTTTTTCAGAAACTATTGTAAATTTTAAATTTTTGTAAAAAAAAAATATTTGGTTTAAAAAATTCTACAAAATTACTTAGTTAAATATTTTTTCCATCCCTTCAACAAGAATATAATTACTTAACTATAATTTTCTTAAATGATGATTTCTTATTTTTAACTTGATAATATAATATAAAAATCATTTGGTTCTTATAATTTTTTAGCTTCGATGCGAATCTCAGAAGGTATTAATTTTACTATGATGTGTTTATTATTATTATTTTTTGTGCCTGTTACAACTTTTTCTCAGCTCTCACTGAACCGATATCTTTCAACAATACGTCAAAAGATCACAAATCGTATCTAATCGTAGAAATTATCCTCAAAAATTGAAAAACTTTCCCTCGTTCCCCGTAAATGGGAGAAATCTCCATAAAAAGTTACAAATTTAAAAATCGTTAATTTTCGAAATTTTATCAATAATTTTTATTTCAAATTGCCATTACTTTTTCAAAAATGAACAAATCAATATTTTTTTTTTTTATTGTTGCTTGATGTCTTTACTTATCATATGGTAAATTTTTTTTTATAAATCTGACCCTTTACCTGCCTACAGGGGGGGGATATAAAATGACAAATTTTTCACAACAAATTAACTTGTTCATAATAACTTTTGAAAGTTTGACACTTATATATATATATATTAAATTAAAGCTAATGTAATATACCTTATTATGGAAAAAAAAATGTCGGACTTTATTTTGTCTTCACGGTGAAAATAGCTACCATATGCTATTTTTGTGTTAAAATTCTCAATTTTATATTTTACATTTTTAACTTTGAAATGTTATAACTTTTTGAAAAATGTATGGATCAATACAATTTTTTTATAAGAAATAATATTTATATACTTCGTTCATTCGACATTTTTTTTTTTAAATCGGACCATTTCCCTTAATATATGGGGGTTCTANATTCGACATTTTTTTTTTTAAATCGGACCATTTTCCTTAATATATGGGGGTTCTAAACATAAAAATGCATATAGAAAGTAGAACTTTTTCAACTTAATTTTTGAAAGTGTTCCGGAAATACTGACATTTTTATATATATCTTAAATTTAAGCTTATGTGATATACTTAAATATTAAAAAAAAAAATTTTGGACTTTATTTTGTCTTCATGGTGAAAATAGCTACCGTATTCAAAAGTATGCTATTATTATATTAAAATTCTTGATTTTGTATTTTATTTTATTATAAGGGGATTACACTGATTTTCATAAATATTATATCAATCTAATTGACATAGTATAAAAAATTAAAAATATTTAAATTTTTTTGTTTATTTGAAATCGAGAAAAATAACTTTAAAATTTGAACTAGCTAAATTTCCATTTTTATTAAGCGACGAATGAGACGTACGGTTTCTGAGACGGTAACACTTGGGTCTTTCACGCCTGTAGCACTGAATTTTTTCTTAATTCATTTTGAGATAGAAAAAAATGTTTAACTCATTTGATTTTTATCTCATTTAGATTCAATAATTTCAATAAATATCAAGGATTCCATTACTGTAGTCTCCTCTCGTGAGAAGAAATTCATATTAATATTATTTTACTATGTGGTTTTTTTTTGTAGCTATCATTTATTTTCTCAGCTCTCACTTGACCTACTTTTTTTTTAAATTAAACACCATCTACAGATTTGCATCGAAGCGTTTTTTATGATAGTGATTTTAGTCACTGTCAGATATCATCTATACTGGACCCAACTATGCCATGACCCCACTGTGCCGCCACTCCACTGTGCTGGGTTTTTTTTTACCTTTCAGTCTATAAGTTAATATAATAATAATAAAATGTTGAATCATGGTGACTAGTCAAATTTACCAACTGATAATTTTAAACCTATATCAATTTTTTATTGCGATTCAATTATGAGGCGCAATATTGTGTGATATTTCCCAAAACTTAATAATTCGCGTTTCTAAAACTTTTTCTGTATATAAATACCCAAAAAATTGTTTTCTTTTAGAAGACGATATTGATGTTTGTGGAGTTGAACACATTAAGTGTCTCGTGCGTGTAGATGGTAATAATTAAATTTCTTTTAAAATATAATAAATGATAAACATAAACTATTATAAAATGCATGTATTTTATTTGTATGATGTTATGGAAATGAAGCAATTCAACGTAACACATTAGCGCCAACTAATGAAACAGGTTTTCCTAAGTGGAGTCAACCGCCTCATATGAATTGCACTTGTCCTCAACCGTGTTCATTTCTTATTTATTCTACTGAAGTACGCAGCCAACTAAGGTTTTATTGTCAAAACATTAAAGTTATGTTTAAATTTTTTTAATAAAATTAATTTTTTGTGTAGGGAATACCTAGATATATCACAATTTAATGATGATATTGGTCCTACTCCTGTGTATCTAGATTTCCATTTTAGAGACCAATTTGCTATCAGTTACATTCGTTCTATGAAATATAGTACACAGGATTTATTGGGTAAAAATATGTAAATATTTTATTATTGACTAGCTAAGGTAGCGTAGATAGTATCTTCGCACTAAATTTTGTAAGGGATTAGGCACGAAGTATTGTATTGAATGCAAAATCTGTAAACGGTGTTATAGAAAATTTGAAGATATTTGTAGAAACTAAACCAGCGTACTATTTAAAAAAACTAAATTGAACAATAACGCTCAGCTTTGCTAAGTTATATTATTATGTTTAGAAAAACTTCAATTCGAGTTGAAAAACATGACTGTTTTATTAATTACACACAAGAAATTTATAAAGAAATATTGAACATCGCAATAGATAATTTTTAAACAAAATTTTAAAACAAAAGTCATTAGGAATTACGTTACTATAGCAACATAAATAATTTTTTCAATTATTTTATAATTGGCCATATCTACTAACTTACATTAGGAATTTTTTTTTCCGAAACAATTGGTACCTCTTTTTTATCTTAATTTCAATGATTTTTATATAACACACTTTTTATTAAAAAAAAAAGTACTTCAGTCAATTAATTATAAGACAATTTATTATTTTGGTATTATTTTATTATAGTATCTGTTGGAGGAATAGCAAGTCTGTTTTTGGGATGCAGCTTGGTCAGTTTAATAGAAATACTTTATTATTTATATAAGTCGATCGTGTACCTCAGAAGTAAGAATATATACAAAAGGCAAAAAAAAGAAAAATTAGTTATACTCACACGTAGGTACCATCCTTATGAATTCAAAAGGCCGCTTTATAAGCCACCACGTCATATCAACTCTAAAACATCAATGAATCAATTTAACTATTAATTTATGTTTTATATAATATTTATAGTAAAAACTCAATAACAGCATAAATTATTACATTTACTTAGTTGTACTTAAGGTATTTGATAGGGTTTTACTTAGTCTGAACCACATTTATTTGGTAAATTTAGTGAATTTTAGACGTTAATCATTTATAAAAATAATTATAATATTTTTAATGTGTATTCATTTATTGATTAAAAGTCGTGTCTACACTTGAAATTATATGTGTGATAATTCAAATTTAGTGTAAGTTTGAATTGTGTTGTAAAAGTGTTATTAACTCAAAAAAGAATAATTTTTGTAAATTGGAAAGTACGGAAATTATTCATCACAGTAACTGTTATTCCACAGACGAGAAACCGCTGCGGCTGTATAGAAGTTTTATACAAACATTAAATTCATTGAAACGTCACAAATTCGAAGGTGGGAAAGTCTATAATTTTGTTATGTTTTTTTTATTATGCAAGAGAATGGGCAAGTGAACCTTTTTTTGACACAACGATGTCGAAACTCATTATTTTTGCCGTTGACTGCAAGATAAGGCGACCAGGGAAAATAAATACAATTAAAATCAAATTGTTTATTGGTATTGATCCCTCCCCAATAGACTGACCGTTATCGGTTTAAAATTGCCATTAGATCGGTGTTGGCTTTTTCCCTTGCTTTCTGTCATTTACCGAGTTAGAGTGCACACGTTTTTCATTTTTTGTCAATGTTTTCAATAATGGTGTAGATCAAATAATCACGTATTTTTGGTGAAGTATCTAAACCATCGGATAGGTCTCTTTGGTTACTGGGTATTGTTATTATTAATTATATTTATGTAATGAGCTTCGTTTTATTAACTTTTTTTAATTTTTAAAGAATTTACTTAAGTTAGTCTAGTTCGAGTGTCCAGACCGCTCCTGGTGTTTTTCATTAATTTCCGAATAACATTAATGGATGTATTTCAATACTGTAAATGATGTTTACTATATTATAATATATTTATTGTTTAAATATTTTATTATAATTTTTTTGAGCTTTTCTTTGTAGACATGGTTTTTTATACACTCGAATTTTTGTCCATGTTTAACTTAATTTTCTTTTTCAGCAATTGAATTAAATTTCCTTATTAATCATAACTGTAATATTTATTTTCATTAAGTGAGTACCTTAAGTATTTGCGTGTATTTTTTTCCTATTCCTTAATCTAGACACAGACTGCGGTATGTTTTACATACCAGCCTCATACAACTTTAATTATCATTGTTGTGGTTAATATGCCAGGAGGTATTATAATCATTTATATTTAACGACATATTAACTAAAATTAAATTCCACCTATTATTCGGTAATCGTATTTGGCAGGTGTGACAACTTGATGGTAACAACTTTTGCCACAATCGATGTTGTGCAATTGTTTATCGTGGTGGCCCCTGAAGGAGTCCTTTTTAGTAACTCATTGAACCAAACTATATTCTAAATATCTTCATCTATGCATTTAAATTTTAGAAATGCCAAAAATAAAATAATTTAATAACCTATTCATTAATTAATAGTTTAAACATTGAATAACAGAAATAAATAATGTTTAGACACGATTTATTTATATCATAACCTATATTATAAGATCATTGGTGTGTTAAGTGCTTCTCATAGGTATTTAAAAAATTGTACTAAATAACAATAGTTAAATTATAATTTAAATATTGTTATTCAAATTTAATCAGACCTTTAAAAACGATTAAGACATTTATTTATCAAATAACAAAACTGAATTTTTCTCAATAACTTATTTTTGGTTATACTTATAATTATAAGTCAATTAAAAATCACTCCTTTCATAATAAATACTATCGATTTAACATAAAATTTGAACTCTTTAATTTAACAAATTGAATGATTTCGTTTTTTATTTTGTTTGTAATTGTTAAAATTTAAATAAGTTAAGAGCAATAAAACCACCGTAAATTAATGTACTTTTTTCAATGCTTAAATTTGAACTCAATCCAAAAGGTAAATATGATATCATATTAGTGTATATATAGTTCAGTTATGGTTTTATAATTTGGAAATAGTTACCCAAGTATGTTAAAATTCTGCCCAAATCTCATCCGTTAAATTGATTTTATATATCATATTAAATTAAAATTATTCAACATAGTTGCAGTAAAGTAAGTAAAGTATTTCTCTATGGTTGGGAAATATTATTCATACAAAAGAAAAAAGTTGTCTTTCCTGTGTAATTACGCCCTTACATACTTCATATATTTACACCTATGACCACTTTGATTAGTAAATAAACTTAAAAATAGAAATATAGCCCTCACTTTAATTTATTAAAAATATATATAACATAATATGTTAATATATATTATGAGATTACAAGACTATATCGACTGTTTGCCTGATAATTGGCGTAACTGATATTACAAACATTATAATAATTATATAATATTAGTTTGATATTTTCATCATCAATATTGATACTTTTTTTTATGTTTATTTGTTGTATAACTTACAGAGCTGCATTGATGAGAACAAATGGTATATGAAACTGAGGTGACACATATGAGAATGTTGCACTGCAGAAAATTTTAGAACCATGGCGGCTACATAGTTCAATATTTGTTTTAAAAACCATTAAAAGAACTGATTTTTTAGTAAAATTCCGGTACATTAAAACAAATAATTTTAGTAAATAAATGGTTAGGTTTCTGATTCTTTATTTCCTTCGTCAGAAACGGCTTTGAACCGGTTCTTAAAAATTCTAACTCTTTATTTATACTAATATAGTTGCTAATTTTTCTCTACTAACTTAGACACATAAATAAATAGAACAAAAAAAGAGAGATAATTAGTGAAGCAATTTGACTTTAAAAGAAAGAAAATTTATCAAAGATTATTATATATTCTATCATACAATGTATAAATTTAGAATAATAGATATAGTTATAAAGGATTGTCCATTCCAGCTCTTTTTTACTATTTGATATGCCATTATTGTTTGAGAGAGACCAAGCTACTAGTATACGATGTTTAGGTTTATAATAGAAAATAAAAAGCTATTTTTTCATAAGTATAATAATAATTTAAAAATAATTTAAAATAATAGTACTATATTATGGAATAAAATACAAAGAAAAAACCAATCAGTACATCTATCTACCTAAAATGTGGTCTTTTTCTTCGTCATCCCCATTTCATTTCATTGGTTTTCACACAAAATTTTGGTTAAAAAAAGGATGGTGTTTTTTTCTTTACGGTGTACATATAAACGTCTTGATGTATTGACATACGACATGGTGGTCATAAATAATGGCGTGGTTGCTGGAATCGTAATTATAAATTTGGTATGTATCTACCCTGTGACCTAATGAATATGTATAAACCTTCTGAAAGGGCTACTGGGCTCACAAGGCCTTAACTGGTAAAAGAACACAAACAAATTTTCATTTGAGATGAACAACAATAATTATATTCTGATAAAACAATGAATGATTTATTTTTCCTATAATGAAAGAATAATGTCAATAAAAAATATATTATTATAACATTAAACTATACATAATCTTAACAGTTAGTAAACATTTAACAACATTTATATTTAATTTCTCAAGGAATATATTAAATGACTTAAATCTCAATTCACACACATTATAAATGTATATAAATATAGATATAATATATTATTATAACTTGCCAATAGAAAAGAACAAGTTATTTACATCAATAAATACTTATGCATAAGTGGATGAGGAACAAATTTATGGTTTGACTTCTTTTATATAATTTAGCAATTTTTACTTGAGATGATGTTGCTGTGAGGTACACATATCCTGACAAAATGAGCAACCACAATTGGCTGAGAACAAAATATCCACAAAAAGGATTATTCAGAAGAACCTATTTCTTCATTCTTCATATATCTGAGTAGACCACAATTGGCTTAGAACAAAAAAAAATCCACATAAAAGGATTATTCAGAAGAACATATTTCTTCCATTAACACATGTAGTTCCATAACCATAAAAAAATATCAGTCTTTTATCACAAAAAAGACAACATGAAATGTGATAGCTTTACACAGTGTCGCCCTATTCTGCGGCGCGAACACCTTCATAAAGGGTAATTAATCTTAAGACAAGAGGAGGGAATTAAAGGAGGAATAATTATAACCCCTCCATTTTTATGAGTTATATTAATAAAGTACTTTATATGTAGAGTGTTCAGTAAGCAAGGAAACGGGTTTCAATTGTTTTCATTGTTTTTAAACAACTGAGTTCGTGAGTTCTTCAACCTGTACGTATCTCTCTTCAATTTCTTCATCCGTACTTCTAGATGTAGGAAAGTACATTTGTAATATAAATGTTTGTAGGCTTTGCTACTATTTTCATCATTAGAAATCTGTTATTTTGGTGGTATGAGTTGAGTAAATTGTTTTTTCACTTCCCTGGTAATATCACTGCCACCCCGTTTCTTCCTCTTTTCTCCTTTATACTATGAATAATTCTAAAATCATCAGATATAAAATCACCATTTCCTGACCGTCTTGTTTCACTTATACCAAGTATATCTAGCTTTGCTTTCTTCATTTGTTCTTTTACTTCTTCCAGCCTCCCCGTTTTTCATCGTCTTTGCATTTCATGTGTTTATTCTAAAATAGTCTTGTTTAGTCTTTCCACAAGGTTTTAGTAGGACTTGAGTACGACTAAGTCGTAGGACTTTGAGTAGGACTTTTACGACTTGAGTAGCAATGGATCTATTCCTGACGGATCTTGGTGTCCGAATTTCATGATCAGTACGTTTCTCTTCATTTTCATTGGACATCATNTTAGTAGGACTTGAGTACGACTAAGTCGTAGGACTTTGAGTAGGACTTTTACGACTTGAGTAGCAATGGATCTATTCCTGACAGATCTTGGTGTCCGAATTTCATGATCAGTACGTTTCTCTTCATTTTCATTGGACATCATTTAGATAGTAACAGCTATTTGATAAGGAATATCAAAGATCTTTAATTCAGTAGTTTCCCTGTTTCTTTCTGCATCCTCATGGCCGATGGTTGACCTTTGAACGAAATTTCTCACCTACAAGACAAACGATTACCCTTCTCTTGCTACTCATACGTCCTTTCGACCGTAGGTTTTAAGAGTTTGCTTCTTATTCTGGGAGTTGGTCAGATCATTGGAATCGTCTGCCTGAGACTTTCCGCTAATGAGTTCGCCCTACCAATAGTATAAGTAAGCCATATACTCCCCTAAGGATATATTACTTCAATGAATTACACATAAAAATTCATTCTGGTATATTTATTTATTATATCTCTGATTACCAAAATAAAGATCAAGTTTTATCTTTAATCATTATTAATTATTAATAATTAAAAATAAAAAAATCATCAATCAATAAGATATATATTTTATGAGTTTTTGTTAGGTGATTTATATCTTAAAAATTTTTAATTACGTGGTACGAAAGTAAAATTTGTAATATTATTAAACAGTTGATATATTTAAACAGTTTAAATATAGTTAATTACTAAGACATGTCTAAAATTATACATAAATATTGAAACGTCCATATCAAAAATAGTAATACGTTTAAGTTACAATTGTAAAGAAAACGCAGGGTGGATCTAGAAAAAAATTTGAATTAGTGGTCACTTTATTAAATTTAACAAAATAATTAAAAAAAAAGGTATGCAATTTACATAATTAATGTAATACGGGAATATATTTTTCAAACTAGGAAATAATTTATAACATTGCACCTAATTTCGGAGGCACCGATGACCTCTCCTCCATCCGCCATTGGGAAGAGTTAATATAAATTTTTTTACAATATATGATATCTTTTTATACATGATACATATAATTTTTCTTATGTTAATAACTGGGCAACTCTATTTCGTTAAATACGTTTTTATATGTCAGAGCTTTATATGAATGATACTTTTTGAAGGTCATAAACAAAGCATATTTTGTTTGTACTTAATCCGAGTCATGAACATATATTAGAATTAAGAAAAAAAATTATTTACACTACAATATTTACTCAAATTACTATTCTTTTTATCATGAAAATTAGATGATTTTTTATGAATATATTTTTAAATATTATATTTGGCCCTTTATAGGTTTAATGTTAACCTAAGTAAATAGATCAAACAAATAACTTCATTCATACAGGATCAAATGCCAATAAAATGATATTACTTATACAAAATGTTTTATTTAAAAACACTAAATAAATACTTCAACATGAAGTAGGTAAATATAATATATGTTGAAAAACGTCTTTAATGTAATTTTGCAGACTTGCTGGTGATTGACATATAAATATATACTATTTGTAGATAGGTAATTAATAACATTCATGTAGACATCGCAAATTTAATTTCTATCATTTTTACTTAGAACTAAACTGAAAGTCGTTAACATGTTAACAAAATTACATTTGCAAGATTATAGTGAAAAAATATCTATTCATGGTCTACGATATGTCCTAAAAAAAGGAGCAAAACAGTGGGAAAAGTAATTTTTAAGCTTATTTTATATAGTAATACGAATATAAAATGTTCATAAGTTACTTTTCAAAAATCTCTATTGCTATTAGTATTAAAAATAGTGTCTAATTATTTTTCATTGATAAATATCTGACATTGCACCAGGAAAACGTTTGAGACTGGCTCTCTTCAATAATTACGCACAAAAAAAATGTATTTTATTTAAAAAAATATATATTTTTAATATAAGTGAATTTTCCACAACATTTTCTCTTTCGAAAGTTAAATAGAAACCAATTTTTATTTTTTATTATAAAATGCAGAATGGTCTAAATAAAATTTTGACTGGTTCATAACTAGTTTTATAATATTACTTTTTGAGATATAATTAATTTAAATTTCAGAAAGTGAAGAATGGGGTAGTGTTTAATGACGCTTTATTTTTACCATAGTGCATAGATATTAACTCAAAGAGTAATAATACAAAACTAGTTTTCGACTCGTCAAATTACCAAAATATACCAAAAAGAAAAGTATAAATAATAGACATTTAAATAATTGGTATAATTATTAAAAGTAAAATAGTTTTTATAATTAATAATAGGTAAATAGGGATATAATTGTATGAAAAAAGTAAGATTGTTAAAACAATAGATTTGGGGAGATCTCGGGGTTGAACAATATTGCATAAATTATGTTAAATTATAACGCAATAAATTGTTTGTGATTCGAAAGCATAAATTACCTTATATTCTATGCCACGTAATAATATTTTAAGTAATTCAACTTTGATTCTGTTTATTAAATGTACTGCGTATAGGTTTCACACTACAGGTTGTATAGTCAATATAACTATTTAAGAAAACACTTTAATTTTAAATAATACGACTTCATTTCACAAAATCTATGATTGATTTTTACATGTAAAAGATTTTAAACACTATATTATTTATTAAAAATATAACTTTTATAATTAATCCATATATTATTTTATTCTTGTTGAATTAATTCTATTTTTGAGAAATCGACAACAATATTTTTTAGTGCTTCCATTGGATTAGCCAAAACAAAATTCTAAATATTTAGACCTATGTAAACATTTTATTAGAGTAGTATTATTGTGGCACAATGGGTCCCGGTGCTGATACCTCGAAAGGTTGCAATACACAATAATCACAAAGACAAAAATTAAACACTACAAAATATGTTCGTAAGTTTCTTTGTGCTGTCCGCCGGCACGATATTCGTTAGAACAAACAAATTAAGCTCAGAGACTAGCTATCCAATATACATAGGATTACAAATATATTCTAACCTTACATACCTAATTCAAGAATAATATCTAGTTGCAACCTTTACTCTGTCCGCCGACGCGATGCTCGTTAAAGCAAATACATTAAGCTCGATGACTAGCTACCCAGTAAGTATAGGATTGCAATGAACTTAGTCCAATAAAATTATTATTAAATTAATTTAAGTTTTAGTTTAAACTGAGAATATTGTGACTTTTGTCATTGTTCACTATGATGTTCGCTAGAACAAAGATCTTAAGTTATAAGACTAGCTATCTAATAAGAAAAGTCGACAATACATTTTTACCATTAAATAAATATTTTAAGTAATTTTGGGTTGATTTATTGTTCAAATAAAATTAATTTTTTTTTTAAAAAAGGTTTAATGTTAAAAATATTAATTGATACTTATTTCCATAACAAGAAAAATTAACATATTTAATGCACAAATAAACCTAAATTAAAAGATTCACCAAAACAAAATTTACTTTAAAATTTCTAAGTGTCATTTAATTAAAAAATATTTAAGTCCAAATGAATTAAAAAAACAACCCAGGGAGTGAGAATCTTGAGTAGGATGCTTCAAATTTTGTTTATTTTTAAGTTACCCAAAGAACTGGTTTTGACAGAAAAAATTACTTTTTATAATCACATATCAAATCAAGCAATCCATATCGTAATCTTAGAATCTGATACCTTTTATTGTTATTGGTTGATTATAATGGAGGCCTTGCGCGTAGACATTACTTAAAAATCTGTTCAATAAGTAGATTTTAACCAATAATTAGTTGGTTAATTTTCTATTTTTAATAAAGGAACACTGTTTTGGTTAGGTTGTATTAGTTATATTTACAGATGTATTATACCGGTAGAAGTCCAATGTATTCAATTTTTTTATTTTATGGTTTAATATAACAAAACTGAGCAGTAGTATCAAGTAATATAGTTCATTTGGTTAGAATTTATTTAATGTTAGTAATATAAATACATCTGTTTTTATATTATTATTAAAAGAATTCATAATTTCGTTTTTGTTCGCCTGAAAAATTTACCACAATGGGCTACTATCGTTTTTTCCTTGTACTATTCTATAATTCATACTAATACAAAATTTAGTCCATCCATTAATTTTATCCTCTAATCGTTACTGTGTATAATTCATGAAAAAAATAATATTGAATATTATTTTATCTATTACAAAGAATTTTATGGATGACAATACTTACCGTTGCTGGTATATGTATACTTAATAAATTCTACCAGTCCTGGCAACTATACAATCATTCATTGATACAAATAATTATTGAAGATCCACTATTTCCATTAAAAGAAATTGATTTTCCAGCCATCACAGTCTGCATGAACAGTAACGCAATGTACTCAAAAGTAAAAACTCTTACTGAGTATGTAATAATTTACTTTAATAATAAGTATTTACTTTGAAAAATACAGGAGTAAGATTGGTAATTTTTGTTAAATATAAAATATTTTAGCAAAGGTTTTAACGTAATAAATAAATAAATATAAAGAGTGGGTCACCAGATTTTAACATCATATTAACTTTTAATCCAGCGAATATTTTGCATTACTTTTTTCTAAAACCATTTTTTATCATTTTTGTTCTGTGTTAATGGCTTACATTTTTATTATTTAACTCTAATAAAAAAATAAATTAAAATTTTTTTATTTATACAAAATTTCAAAATAACTATATTTTAGCACTTTTCTTACAAAAAATTCTGATAGATTGATGACAACTTTAAAAAAAGTACTGAAAAGTATTTTAATACATTGACTGAGCATGTATAAAAAAAGAGTGCACATACGCCAGTACGAGCTGTATGTAGTTGAAATTTAAAAAAATTCTTTTTTCTTATTAGAAACAAATAATAATAATAAACATGCTTTTAACATAGTCTAAAATTGTAAAAATTATTTTTAAAAATAGAGACACATAGTATTCGTTGGATCAAAAGTTATTAAAGATGTCAGAATCTTATGGGACATTCTGTATTTATATATAATATTTTTATCGAAACCCGTCTTATTCCTTGATTTTAAACTAGTAAAAAAAAGTTTAAATGTTTTTTTTAGAATATATTCTAACGAGTCAAATTCAAAAAAATATTTTGAAAATTCAATTAAGGCAATCAGTATAATGCGTTTCCCTCATTTTAACGCTTTAGCACCTCTTGTGAGAAGTTTGAAAATGGAAAAAATCCCCCCAGAAGAAATTCGTGACATTATGTTATATGTAAGTAGTGATAAACTATGTAAAACTAAGTTTGTTAATGCAGGATTGCTTTTAAGGGGGTACTTGGTGCAATTACCCCGGATGGTAATAAGGTATGGAGCAATATAAATTAAAGAGTTAACAACTTATTTTTTGCTTATTTAATTTAAATTTAAAGAAATTGAAATGCATAAAATAGACAAATTTTTTTGATAAACAATATAAAAAGTTATTGGAGGCTACTTAATTGAGTAACCCGACGGCACAATTCCTTAATAACAAGTTTTATTATCGAAATAATTTAAAATAATATAGGCATTCCATTTCACCAAAAAATACATGATTATTGACTCAAGTGGTCAATTACTCATAGAAAATAACTCATCAGAAGGTTGTTTTCTTTTAATCGTATAGTACATAAAAGAACCTTAAATTTCATTTAATTTTAAATGTGTAGAAGTTACATTATTATGTATCCATTACACTTTAAAATAAATCATTTTTACCAAAAATTGAATGATTTTTGCACTTATTCTGCAAAAACTCCTAAAAATTAAGTTTTCGGGTAATTTTTTTTTTGTCTTAAATTTCATTGTATTAGCTTTAATTTAGTGTATTTTAAAAAAGTAAGGTGTTTTGAAACATTATAAAGAATTGAAAAGAAAAAATTGTGATATAATTTTTAGCCCCGCAGTATCTTATTATTGACTGGATTTTCAGAAAAAATATACTGAAGGAAAATGTCTGAAGTGTTATTAATAAAAAATTAAAAATAATCCAACCAGTTCTTAAAAAAATTGCTTTAATATAAAATGAAAACTATAATTATCAACATTATTAATTCATAAAAACTGTGATTTTTTGAGATATTTCCTTATACTATGAGTATTAAGGGAATTTTTTTTAAAATTATGGCACAAATAGCTTTAACTAGATTCTATATGATTTGATCTAAGCAAAATAATATTTTAAGGTTCATTATATAAAACAAAATATTTGCTGTGTGCGAATTTAGTTAAGTTGAAGTGCAGTTAATCGTGTATTCTGACAATAAAATATACACAGCAATATATAACTAATCGATTCTCAGCTACGCATCGAAACTAATAATTATTTTATTAAATAGTATTTAAGTAAAAAAACGTCAAATATTTTCTTAATGTATTTTAGAGAAACTTCTTTAACGTTTAAAATTAATAAACATTTAAACTTTTATTTTTATTTTACAATACTAGACGTTTAATTGTGTTTTCAAAACTGATAATTAAATAATCATTACTTTTTAGATTAAATATTTTAATAGTAATTTTTTTTATAAACTATAATTTATAAATAGTTAATGTAATCGATGATATCATTTTAATTTTAATGTTTTATCACAATATGTTGTGTGACCCTATATTTCATTTACTTAAAAAAATTAAAAAACCTCTTCTTCAAATTTAGGAATTTAAAAAAATACGCTACTATAAAAAATAAAATTACAAAACAATTGTTTTCTGCATTTTAAAACTGTTGTAACTTTTTTTTAAAAATCATTGGTACTATTGAAATTTTAGGAAAATATATTAGAAACAATAAACTTACTTTTAGTACGGTAAATTAATACGCTAGATGTGTACTACAATATTAAAAAAAACACATCATGGTAAAAGTAATACCTTTTCAGTTTCACATCGAAGCTAAAAAACATTTCAAAACTGTTCTAATATGAGAAATTGTCAGTCAAAGTAAAAAAAATATTTTATTTTCAATTTTTGAAAATGTTTTAAGACGTCTGAAAAATCAAAACTTAAATATTAATAATAATTAAAAAATAATTATTTAATTATACTTACTCCGGCCACCGTTCGGTACACCGAAACTATCCGGATCACCGCCCGCCACTGCACTTTGAGCAGAGCTTCATAGTTTTTGGAAGAATACTCAAGAGTATCCGCCCAAACCGAGGACCCGTACAGGATGATCTTATGTACGACGCTAACTAATAGTCTGCGCCGCAACTTCCTCGGCCCTCTCAGATTAGGAATGAGTCCCGAAGCCCTGCTTGGTTTTGGCCCTGAAGAGGGAGGCCGCGTCGTCCGTGGACCTCCCCCTCCTAAAATCGAAATGGCCCTCAGCCATACGCTGATATCGGCCAGGATTACCAACCCCCACACCCAGTTTGGAATCGTGTCGGGGCCGGGAGCAGTGTTCCGACCCCGCACGCGCGCCACCACGTCGGCTATCTCCTGGGTGGTGAATTCCTCTACCAACACGTCTTCCCCGAACACCGGTGGAGGCAGGGGCGGATATGTCGGACACCTATCATTGAGCGAGCAGCAAGCCCGTCTTGAATGCATCGACTTCCGTACCCGGGCCGACCCGCCAGCCCACTCACCCGGCGCGTGGGGCACGTCTCGCAGGTGATGGCTTCCGTGTCCGCACTCGTACACGATGTACCGGCGGTCGCTGAGGTTTTCCCTGTGCGAGAGAACCGACCAACCGCTCACGTGCGGGTGCAGCGACGGGAACACTAGCGTGGCGTCCACCACCGCGCTCGAGGCGTGACCTTCGTACGTCGAGGTGGTACCCCTGTCGGCCGACAACAGTCCGAGGGCTAACATCAGGTCCAACAGGTCCTCACCGTGCTGGTTCGTATCCACCGATCCCCAGACCGGGGATATTGATGTTAATCGTCCCTAATAGATATCATCAGTACCTTTCCAAGTATCTGCGTCCCTATTGTGTTGAATTTTTTTATTGTATCAATAAGTACTGTTGTGAACTGGCTTTTTGCTGCCTAATTGTAATTGTGTAATTTAATAATATATATTTATCATGGGAACGGAAGCCCCTTTGTCTCGTAACCATTATTTGTTAATTTATCAAAATTAACAAATATGGTTGAAAAACAACTAACCAAAGTATATATAAAATAAGGAAAAACAAACAAATAGAAAAGTTCAAAAGACTCGAGGGGAAAATCGAAAATAAAGAAAAACGAAACTACAACTTCAACAAGAAAACTGCGGTTGTCAATCTAACTGAAAGGAACTGACAAACGCTGAATTAACCATTCTGGAAAAAGGTTTTAACTTTTCGTTAGTTCCAAAGAAAATTCCAAAGGAAGACATTATAAGCAGTATAGAAAACTCACTGTACCAACTTGAAGATCACGAAAAAGAAATCATCAGGCAAAAAGCTACAAAATTTTAAGAGAATCAGGACTGCCAAAACAGAACTACAACAAAGAAGAGTTAACTGCACTCAAAAATTTAAAAAACGACCATAATATTATAATACTAAAATCTGATAAAGGAAATGCCACAGTTGTCATGAAGACCACAAATTATAATACTAAAATGAAGAAATTACTAGAAGAAGGGCCGTACAAAATCATAAAAAGAAATCCGCTAAACCGAATAATCAAACTAGTCAATGATGAAACAAAGAAAGCAATACTAGACGAAAAAGAACGAAAACAACTACTAGTGACGGTTCCAAGACTACCAAGAATTTACGACGTCCCAAAAATACACAATGACGTGCTGCTCAGACTATAGTCAGTATCATAAACTCGCCGACATATAACCTGGAAGGTCACTTAGCACAAATTTTGAAAACCTACACTGGAAAAACATCTTCCTATGTAAAAAACTCGACTGATTTTGTGGAAAAATTGCAACAAACCAACTGAGAAGACGGAGACCTTCTGGTCAGCTTCGACGTAGTCTCGTTATTTACAATGGTACCAATAAAGGACACACTGAATATCATAAAAGAACAACAATGGTTAGACGAAAAACTACATAGTTTACTGGAATTGTACACCAAAACAACAGTTTTCACATACCAAGGCTACATTTACGAACAAACTGATGGAATGGCAATGGGATCAAGACTAGCACCAGTATTCGCCAACATATTTATGGAATGGTTTGAAGTGCAAGCAATGAACACGTAAACCAAAAAACCAAAAATGCGGCTACGGTATGTAAACGACACTTTCGTCGTATGGCAACATGGCGTTGACAAACTACAATCTTTCCTGCAACACTTAAACAGCATTTACGCCAACATACAGTTCACTATGGAAACAGAAGAAAACGGCAAATTGCTATTTTTGGATATAATGGTTAATAAACAACCTAATGGAAAATTCGGCACAGGAGTATACAAAAAAAGTACACATACTGATAGATATTTACACGCCGATTCACGCCACTGCCCCTCGCAAAAAATGGGACTATTACACACAATGGCAACAAGAGCCGTCAGAATAGCTGATGAAAACCACGTGAATGGAGAAAAAACATACCTACGACAAGCACTCAAGAACAATGGATACACAACCAAAAATATCAACAAAGCAATCAGAAAAGCAGAGAAAAGAAAAAACAACACGCTATGACGATGAAGAAAACAAAAAAGATGAAAAGGAAAGAACTTTAATACTACCGTACATACAGGGAATCACTGACCGCATTTAAAGAATCGCACAAAAACTAAGAACTGTTTTTAAACCGAACACAGTCGCAGGATCACTACTCCGGAACCCGAAAGATAAGCTACCAGAGATGCAAACACCCGGAGTATATGAAATACCGTGCTCTTGTGGTAAATCCTACATTGGACAAACAGGAAAAGCTATTGCAGCAAAAATAAAAGAACATGAAAAAGACGTGGATTACCAAAGGACAGAAAAATCCACAGTAGCCGAACACGCTAAAAACAAAGGACATGACATCCAATTCGATAAAGTAAAAAATACTGAACAAAGAAACTCATTTTGGCAAACGAATGTACAAAGAGGTAATAGAAATCGAAAAATGTCCAGAGAATTTCAACAGAGAAGTCGGATGGAAAATAAGCGAAACTTGGTTACCCATCATACACCAGACAAAAAGAAAATCAACTAACAACACTGAAAACAGTTCAATACAAGAAAAAATTACTATCAACGTAATGGAAAACTGTCGGTGCAGAAAAGGAAGACCAAAATGCCAAGAATGTCAAAAAACAACAACAATAATCAAAAACAAAGTCATCAACAAAAACATCAGCAAAAACAAGATACCGTAAACAACATGAGTCATAAACAGATATGATAAACAACCGATACGGTAAACAACTGATATGATAAACAACCAACGTATAAAAACAGACTGATAACAAGATAAGCCGCCAGTATAGTTTCAGCCATCGAGCAGTAACTATAGTTCCAAAGATGGACTCTGCAATGAGTCCGAAACGTCAGCAATCAACCCCAAACATGGATAAATCCTCAAGCTTTTCAAATAATATGACAATCCATGAAAGTTTCAACACATTTATAAAAGTATTTACCAGACAAGCATCTAGTCCTTCTAGAACATTCGATACTTGCTCAGCCCTTTTTCAATGTATTGGTCCTACGATCGCCGCCTGAGGCGACGCGCCAGTCATAGTCAGCTACTCGTTCAAGAGTCACATAGTTCATAGGGTCGAACCTAGACGACTCTCCACTGAATCAATTTCACTGAATCTTTTATATTATTTAAGTATTAACTCATTAAAGTCAATTATAAGTGTAAATATATATATATTTAAATATAATAAATAGCAACTAATATTCAAACGCATTATCCCTTCATTTTGTCTACAATACCAACCCGGTCACAACAGTACCTATCACTAAAATAGTTATTTCAAAAAAATAGCTCAATTATTTAATATATCTCTTCATTAGGAGTATCAAAAAGTATAATTTTGATTTTACAAAATTTATAATATTTGGTCTGGTATGAAATAACACGTGAAGTTAACAGATGACTATAAAAATTGAATATTTCTACAATCGTGCAGATAATATTTTGAATACAGAAGAATTGGAGTAGTAGGGAGACAACAACCAGAAGTGGGATAAAAAAATTGTTGCTAAATAATTAGTTGATTATTTATCAATAAATAGTGATGTTAAATTTGTATTTAATTTTGTGAACTAATTGTAAATGGTACACAGGCTTGGTAAATACATTAAATCATAAAATTTATTTTATAATGAACCAAGCTTATACTATTCAAATATACCTATATGTATATGATATGATGTAAATATAATAGTTTGAGACATATATTATTAAAAGTTATTGATTAAATCATATATCTACTAATAACGTTTAACCCTATAATTTTGATTTAGTTAGGACCAACTATAGATGATATGCTTGTAAAGTGCTTTTGGAGAGGAATAAAATACAACTGTTCAGATTTGTTCAGAAGACAACGTAGTGAAATTGGTTTTTGTTATTCGTTTAATAGTAAAACGGCAGATAGAAATTCTAAGTAAACTTTTAATGTACTTTTGAAGATACTAATTATATAGAGAAACCGACGCTATTTAGCCAATCTGATAACTTTTGATCCAGAAAATATTTTGCGTTACTTTTTTTTTTTTAATAATTTTGACAGTTTTACTGTTATACTAAATACATTTTTTTATTAATTATTTTTAATAATAAAAAATAAATAAATAATTTCTTTTTAATTTTAAAATTGTCATTTTTTAACATTTTTCTTATAAAAAACTTTGATGGGTTTATACTTTTCGAGTTATAAAATTTTAATAAATAGAGTGAGTATGTAGTGTAGGCTGGGTGCACATACAGTTTATTAATTTAATTGCTTAGTGTATTAAATGATAAGATGAGAAGTTAGAGTAATGCTCTGCTTACAAAACCAATTATATTCTTACAGATACTCGATTCTTACAGGACCTCGATTATTACCACAACTATTTACCAAAATCTTAACAAAAATTTCAGAATTACAATTATTTTACTTGATTTTATTTCCGTTTCATTAACAAAACCATATAAGAAAGCGTGAGACGCAAAAATAGACGCTAGTAATTAGTCATGCATAAACAAAGTAAAAAAACAAATTATATACATAATTGTAGATTGTTTTTTGTAACGCTAGCCACTCGATTTCTTTTAAAATAATTTTTTTTTTGGCTTTTGTTAGTTACATATGTAATTCCATTTATGTTATAAAATATTTTATAACATATATATTATATATGTTTTTTTATAACATATATTTATTTTATAAATATTTTATATATTCGTCCCTTACGTTTTTTAGAGGTGTCAACTCTATTTTTTGTAATATATGTAAACATATATATTTAACTAGCTAATAACGTAGAAAATAATGTAATTATGAAAATTATTGGTCGATAACAACTTTTATGTTTTGGACGAGTATTTAACAAGTAAATAACAATTTAAAGTAATCACTGGAGGTAAGGCGCAGACGCTGCTATTTTTATTACTAGACATTCCTATCGCCAAGGAATAAAATTTTAATAATTTTGAAATATTGGTGCAAAATTTGTTATCGACCAGTAATATTTTTAATTACATCATTTTCTATTTTATAAGATAATTCATTATGTATGTCGCTATTAGAAAAAATAAAGTTGACGACAACCTCATAAGAAATAAAAAATAAAGATACATTCTAATAATATACATATTGACACTGCCACGGCGTTGTCACCCGTTTGACACCCTGCGGTCGTGTCAGCTCCTTTTCAGCCTCCGCTCCACTGTAAACCGGACCGTTACACACACGCGTTATCGTCATGGTGTAAAGTTCAATAAATGCCTAGCGTCGAATACCCGCCCCAATAATACGTCCAGTCAGTTATCTTCATGACACCAGCCTTTGCTAGTATTCGTCCGGACCACTTTCGTTTTCGACTTCACCGCAAGACTTCGACGTATCGTCACCGACATTTTTACGTACTATTGTTATACTTTCAGTATAGATTTTCTTTTTTTTTTAATTTTAAAATAAATGGCTCAAGCCAATTAATCGCTGAAACTTTGTGTCATCTAAATCATTCAACAACCACCTCTGTCAATATTTAATGTTTTGTAACTCACAAATACCAAAATAAAAAATTTCTCATTTTTTCAACATTAATAAACCCAACGCAAAATATTCGCTGGACCAAAATTATTAGATTTGTCGAAATATCGTGAATAATTCTCCGTAAAAGTGACAACCAGAATATTATTGTGAAATATTTAGCTTTATCATAATTTTTTTTTTATTTAACTATAATGTTTTTTACTATAAACTCTTGCTTTTTATGGAGTGATTAACTCAACTCAACGAAATCACATGTTTAACTTTATTGTCATTCCCTTAAAACTGATTTTATTTTCTTTCTTTTCCTACAATTTATTTTAAAACTTATAAAAATAAGCTGTCCAAAATACATAACTATATGCTCTTTTAGAGTTTTATAGCCACTATTATATTAATTTAGTGACTACAAAAATCTAAAAAATAGCAAAACATAAATAATTAAAGTAAAGAAGCGCAATGATAAACTAATGCTAAAAAAGAAATATTTTATATCTCAAAACGTAAGTATGAATGAACATGATTATGTTATTTAAGATATCGATACTTTATAGTTATAGTGATAGAAATCCTCCATTAACTGGAGAGGATGACCAATTGATCCCTTTGCGTACAAATTCGGCAGGACGAATGTCGGGACTTGAACTTATTTTAAGAAACATGGAATATGAAAACTTTCCAGGAAAAGATGCCATGACAGGATATAATGTAAGTAAATTTGATTGGGTTTAATTTATTTGTTTAAGATAAATTTAAGTGTTGGAACAGGAGTTTTCAGGTAACTTCAGCAATAGTTGAACTTTTTTTTGTTGACTACTAAGATATATATATTATATATATATATATATAAGTGACTATGAAAATAGTCTAGTTATGTATTAGAACCATAGAAAAATAATATAAATAATAAAACAAATATAGTTACATATAAAAAATAAATGTTTTATTTTAAAAGGTTATGGTGCATAACCCTGGTGAATTTCCTGATGAAACTATGAGTTACAAAGCACATTTAGATATAAACAGAGTGTCACAAATATCAGTTTCCGTAGCGAAAGTTAGTGCAGACCAATCACTTTATTGGATCAACCAAAAAGACCGTAAATGCACAATGAAAAAGAGTTCATCTTACTTGATATCAGATGATTTGTCTAGAGAAGGCAACCCCGAATCTTTTTGTTTAAAAAAATGTCGATTAGACGTCATTTATAAGTTCTGCAAATGTATTCCATATTACTCTATTACATATGAAGGTAATTGTATATTACACGGTGTGTAATTACTGTAACATTTATGTGTTATGTTTAGATAAAATTAAGTCTTCTTAAACCACCATTTTGATTTATTATAAATCTTAATTTTCTTTTAATTTTTAATTAATTATTGTACTGCTTACATTGAATTGGGAACAACGATAAAATAAAATCAATCTTACTTTCTTAATCTTACAATTTTTCAATTAACGAATGAATAGTAAAAATTAATATACAAAAGTTTTCTGGGGATGAGGCAAAATAAAACTTAGTTCAAAACTTATTTATTGTCTATAAAAAAATAATAAATATAGACGGTATGGTCGAGTCGGTAACTCGGCAGTGCTTAATACGCACTGTCTTGGGTTCGAAACTCAGTCACTGGCGACTTCATTTGCCAAGCTAAAAATCAATTCGGTGATTGAAGTCATTATACCTCTCTCCGATGATGGACTAACCACCCGTCCCGGAATATCAATGGTTAAGAACCTCCTTCTTTGGTAGATACCGTAATGTGCTCTTAAAAAGCGATAAAAATAAGAGAGACAAGACATTTCGACTAAGAGTATACACTCCAAGTTATATAAATTTGTAGTGTATAAAATTTATTATTCCTAGATATATAATAGATATATTAGTTAAGATATTTAATTAAACATCAAGAAATTAATGGAATTTTACTTCTAAGGTTTATGAGAATAATTTTTGTTTAAAATTTAATTAGTACATTAAATATTATAACACCCGTTTTACCACTTCCTAAAACATAATGAAATTGGAAAAATAGTCCAATAAGCCAAAAATTTGTAAAAATGAATTCATGTTGTATACGAAAACAAATTATTTGGTTACATTAGTAAAACAATCATAGTGTGGCATGTAATATAACATGATTGTTTCACCAAAATAGGCGTAAAATTTTTTTGATTCGTGTATAAAATTAACTCATGTTTATAAATTTTTCACGTAAAAAATTTTTCCCAAGCACTACGGAAATAAAATTAATTTGCCTAAAATACCACTGCAGAAAATTGCTTCTCGAGTCACCCTTTAAATTCAGTCTTGACAAATATTTGAAGTAATATTTTTTTAATTAAATTTTTTTTCTAGATTTAAGTGAAACTTGTGGAGTTGAACATTTGAACTGTTTAAATTTAATTAATGGTGAATATTTTGTTTTTGATTAGTAAAAATATTATATATATACGAAGTGTGTTCAAAAAATAAAGGGAATTTTTGTTTTTAAAAAATTTTGATTTATTCGTATACATTAATTTTGTCGCCTTCAAAAAAGATATTATGCACTTGTGCCTACGCTTCTTCCAAACCTCGAAACACTTCTCAAACTTGATATTTGGTATATCTATCAGCTCATTTAGCGATGCATTTTTAATGTTATGTATGTTTGTAAAACGACCTTTTAAGTTATTTTTATTTTTGAAAGTAGCGAAAAATCACACGGAGCCATGTCTGGCGAATATGGAGGCTGGTATATCGATACAGTATTGTGTTTTTGGTCAAAAGTTCACGAACAAGCAATGAAGTGAAAGCAGGTGCATTATCGTAGTGCAAAAGCCATGAGTTGTTTTGCCACAAATCCGGTCGTTTTTTCGGATTGCTTCACGCAAACGGCATTGAACTTGTAGAATGAACTCCTTATTGACCGTTTGACTTCATGGCAAGAATTCTAAATGCTCTATGCCTCTTTGAGCGGGGGCTACACATCCAATGTCGCTTACCCCGGCACATATAAACTCTATATAAGGAATGAGTGGATTGTATACATAAGTAGGATCGTCTGCTAACACATGACCTTACTTGAAGCCGAATAGGTTGTCTACAGTAAACAAGAGAATGTATAATGTATGAGACAGGTAACAGATAACTTAAACTATGAATAAAAAATGACCAGATTAGCAGTTATTACAGAAATGTATTAAAAATAAATAAAATAAAATTGCCATTTTGGTACAGAATAAATATAATTAAAACATTTTTATTTGGTTATCTTTAGTTACACATTTTTTTGAGTTATTAACAATGTAATACTTTTTAAGTTCATCCCTTATGTCTTGTAAGGGTGTCAACTTTGTTTTTAAATGGGGACACATATTTTCAATTTAATAAAATATTTGAGTTAATACACTAAGTGTTTTTACAAAAATTTTCTTAACCAAATATTCCATGGACAGGGAAAGGAAGGGAGAATTAGTGTAGTCCAACCATGTAAGTTGAACTACGAGTAGGTGCCGAAGTTGCGGCTAGAACGCGCCACCTAATTGATGTTAAGCTAAACAATGCCATTAAAATTGAAGAACACAATGAACGTCATGTTCATTGCACTTGCACTTTTCGGTCTTGGCGATCCAGAATGCTTTCACTGGGACGATTGAGTCTTAGTTTCGACATCGTATCCATAAACTCATGTTTTATCACCTAACACGTTTCAGTAATTCTGCATCGTCGTTTACTTCATTAAGTGACTCCTGAGCAACTTCGATTCGCCGCTGTTTTTGTTCAAAATTCAACAATTTTAGATTTAATTTTTGCTGCTACGTGTTTCGTACCCAAAACATTCGAAAAAATATCATGGCATGAACCAAATCGATATTCCAACATCAGCGACTTCTCTTATTGTGATTCGGCAATTGTTCATAATCATTTCTTTCACTTTTTCCACATTTTCATCGGTTGTTGATATGCTGGGGCGTCCGGTGCGTTCGTCATCTTCAACATTTTCACGGCCATCTTGGAAACGCTTATACCACTCTTAAACCGTTGTTTTACTCATAGCAAACTTACCATAGGCCCTTGTTATACATTTCACACACTTCGTTACACTTAATTTCTTTTTTTACGCAAAATTTGATAAAAATCTTTTGATCAAACAAACGAAAATCGCCGAGGTCATAAAAATACGCCTAACCTTAGTGGCTGCCACTGACAAAGTAAAAAATGAATTCAGCTAAAAATTTTATCATACTTAATATTAAAAAAAAAATTGATAATCAGTCTATCCAAACCCGCGAAATTAAAAAATTCCTGTTATTTTCTGAACACACCTCGTACATATATGTATATATAATATAAATTGTAAAAGAAAAAAATGGAAATAGGATTATATTAGATGAGAATTACCAAACAAGTAAACTTAAGTTTTATTATCGATTAATCATCTTATCAGGCTTTAAAGGCAGTCAAGTGAAAATGATAATAGAAATAAAAAGTAAAAATTTTAGGAATGATGAATCTTAAGAAGTGGAAGATAGAATTGGCTAAATGATTGGATGTGTCCAATTGGTTTCAACCAAGTTGAACGTGTTCAACTTGGTATCGCTGTTTGGATTGGGTTAAGATGTCATGGATTTCGATGTTTAAAATTTGATAACCCACAATACTGTATTTATGGTTCATGATCAGTTCATTGTCTGAATGAGTCAGGTGTTGGCGAAGATCAATTAGGAACATATCATGGATGATACATCAATGATGTATGATATATGATTTATATCATACATATGTTATTTAATCATTGTGCACATAAGACCTATAGCTTTCGATTTAAGTTCTTACATTATAATTGAATAATATTAATTATTATAATTATTATCATAGTTATCTTCACATATTTTTTATCAATTTAATTACAAGATTTCCGATTGACCCCAAATCATACAGATCAAACTCTTTCGTAGGAGCCTGCTTGGGAAAATGTCACCATTGAACATAATAGGAGCGGATTAATGGAATTGCTTCTAAAAAAGAGCATTAATTGACTGGAATTAATTTCACATTGGAATAGGTTTTGAAAAATGAAAATAGTAACAAGTTAAATAAAGATGATAACAAATGATTAAATATTGAGATGGCTTCTATTAGTGATTTATTGAATGTAAAGTGGATTATATCATAAATATAGAAATTACTATTAACTTCGTTAAAGGAAGATGCTTCACTAAGCCAGTGAAGATTCTAACTAAGCCAGTAGCTGTAGAATACGAGGAAATAGCATTATTTAATTAAAAAGAATGATAAAAGAGGTTATGGGGTGAAAATTTGAGTTAAAATTATGAAAAATTAAACGAGAGGTGGATGGGCGGAATATACAAATTTTAAATTTCCTAAAAGTAATTTAAATTTAATTTAAAGGGGTTTTTTGACAGACAGGATTTTTTTCTAATTTCAAGATGCCTATAGTTTTGATAAGAATATTTCTTAATCTATAAAATCACTAATTGAGCCTTAGGTTCTTATTTTTTCTTAGAGCTTCTATACGATTTATAACTTCAGTAGTACAAATAAAAGATCACCTTAAAGGAGAGGGAGAAAATATTTTTAAGTAGGTATTTTAATGGAGAGGAAACAATAACAGCTTTTAAGATAAAAGAAGTAAATGAGTTATAATTTGTTAGTGTGTTTTCAGAAATGGGGTACTTGATATGATGATATGTTACGTGATTGGTATATAAAGCAGAATGGGTTATCAAAAAGTTTCATTAAGGAGTATACATATTAATCGGGGGGATCAAGAGGAAGGATAAAAAATTTGGTAGAGTTGAGTTGTATCTATAGTTTAATTTAATTTATTAGTATTATTTATAATCATTTTATAAATCAATGTAAGATAGAAAATTTTAGGTAAATTATTTAGTGTTTTATCTCACATAAATAATTGGACTCTTTCTTTGTTGGCTATTAATATTTGACACATTTTAAACTATGTTATTTTTTTTAAATTATAAGTTCGGCTCCGAAATTTCCCACCGCCAATTGAAGAGAGTGGATTTCCTGATTGGAGTCTACCTGAATACATGAACTGCAGCTGTCCTACGCCTTGTTCATTCATCAGTTACACGTCAGAAAATAGAAAAATTACAACGTTTAATGAGTATATATCACATATTTCTAAATAAAATTTATTTATATGTATTTTTTAGCGAGAGTATATTCCAATCGATTAAAATAATCCTTACTTTAATTACTTTATCGTTATTAAAAAATGCATTAGTAGCATAAAAGATATACTAAAAATACATTATGATTAGTAAAACAACATTATGTATTAAAGATTCAATATAAGGAATTTTTCCTTGGAATCAAACCATATTTATTTGGATATTCACTACAAAAAACCATATGTTATCAGTTTTAGAAGATCACTAAAATACAGTGCAGAAGAACTTATAGGTATGTTATACTTTTTTGATGAAATAAATGTGCTTTACAATCTATATTTATGTTGTATCCATATTATAGTTGCATTTGGAGGAATGGCTAGCTTATTCCTTGGTTGTAGTATCATGACTATTTTAGAAGTAATATATTATACTTACAAACTTTTAATTGAATTGAAAAAAGTTAATACAATTGTGGATGTGACACCAAATTAAATAAAATTGGCAGGCATTACGAAAATTTTAATATTTGTATAAAAAAAATTATATTTTATCTAAAAAGGTTAGTATCATGTTCAAGACAAATTTAATCTATTAAAAAAAAAAGTACATAAAATATTATGTTTTTAAAAGTTTATATATTCATTATTTTTAAGCCATAGATTGATTATTACAAACATGGTTCTTTAAAGATATGGAATAATATAAAATTGGTTCTGAAATGCTTAGCAAGTTGACACATTATTTAACTTATTGAAGTTAAGTTAATTTTGAGAATAACACATTAAGTTAAAATTTAATTTATGTAATTATTTTTTTTTATCTTTTTTCTATAATTTATATATAATTTTAGCTATCACAATTTATGCATATAAATAAATTTTATCACAAATTAGTTATATTAATTAAAAGGAATTACAAATATTTAACCATCTTTATTAATTTCTTTTGAATTTAAAATAAAAATTATGAAAACATAATTTATTTTAAAATTAACAATTTTAATATATAGTGTTCAATAAGTAAGGAAACGGATTTTTATTGTTCTCATTGTTTATTAAAATGTATTATAATTAATATTATAGCTATGGTACATTTTTTTTTTTTAATTATTATACAAAAGTACTTAATTTACATCATACCAACAAATAAAACATAATTCATAACAATAAATAAAAAATAATTATAGTTAAATACACATAATATGTATACTACAATTCATTTTTAAATCGAGCAGGTATATTTTTTTTCCTGGCGAGGAGAATGGTTTTATGTGCGTTTGTAAGGGAGGCCATATTTATGCATGAAAAAAATGAGCGGAACATGAATTATCCGAAAAAAATATGATGTATATTACTGGTACTGTATAATTATGGAAACTTTAAAAACTGTATTGTAAAATTCAGGATCGTAAAATCCCGGATCGTATAAATATGGAATATAAAATCCCTGACCGTATATTACCGGACTTCTACAATTCGGAACATAGAACGCCCGATCGAAGAAATCCGGAAAATATTGCTCTAAATTGTTCTCAATTTACTCCCTGGTTCCATATAGCTTTATATCATGAATACTTACTGAAACACGATGATTCGGAATAAAATTTCAGGAAGAGAAAATTATTATTAATTAGAATATTGACAATTGTGTTTTAAATAATTATTGTATAGTCCTAAAAATTGAAGTTAGACATTAGTTTTTTCATATCTTCTATTAATGAAGATTTCCATTCAATTTCAATCATTCTTAAGATAAAACATCAATTTTATATTATTAATATTCTTGAATCCAATAGTGATTGAAATAAATATTTTTTTAATTTAATATCGCTGTGCATTTAAAAAAACATATTTATGAAACATACCTAACAAAAAGGTACAACAATCTACCTCATGTTTGAAAACCTGAAATCTTTTTAAACTTCAGTGTTAAGTACTTTTATTAAATATTATTATAAAATCAAAGTTGATTGTTTTAAAACACTAATAGTTAACATAATTAACAAACATATTTTTAGATTTTATTAAAAAAAAAAAAGTACAAATAATAAAAATAATTTACATTCCGATTTGCAAAAATCAGTTAATGAGACAAAACACATAACAGTCTCGGGACAACTTCAACTGATATTGAAATAAAGTTTGTTAATTTCTTAAGGACGTCATTTAAATGCCAAACACTTGGTTGAGTGACGTTACAAATACAATGTAATACTTATGAATATTACAAATATAAATTTAAATAGAAGTTAATCTAATACTATTAGAGTACATAAATATACACAATTTATATATAATATAGAGTGGTACCTAAATATACTTCGTGATTTTTTGTTTTAAATAAATTTGATGCCAAGTGATCGGAATTTTGTTCTAAACAGCATACATAAAATATTGGTGAATTTTGAGGTCATCCTCAAAATTATTATTTTGATTTAAATATTAAATCAATAATATATATTCACACTAATATATGTGTGTGTATATATATATATGCATACAAAAAATAATAATAATTTGAATACTTTTAACTTTATTTAATATGAATTTTTAATTTAATTTTCAAATGTATAATCATTATAAAATATGAAAAATAGTAATTTCATTAAAAAAAATGGTAGCACAGTGGGGTCGCGGCATAGTGGAGACATTGCATAGTAGGGTCCAGTATAGATTTAATCTGACAGTGATTAAAATCACTATCATAAGAAACGCTTCGATGCAAATCTGTAGATAGTGTTTAATTTTAAAAAATTGATGGATAATTGCAAAAGCAACATCAACTTCTATTAAAATAAAATACAAAACCCATAATTATCATACAAAAATAGTATATTTTTCAATATGGTAGCCATTTGCGTATAGAAGATAGATCGTCGGGACAAATTTTTTTTTTTCATTTTGTAGTACATAAAATAAGCTTTAATTTTATATATGTTTAAAGGACGCAGTATTTCCGGAACATTTTCAAAAATTAAGTTGAAAAAGTTATTTTTTGTAAAAAAGTTACTATTTTAAATCCTCCCAGTGAGCAGAATAAGTGTTAGATTTTCAAAAAAAATTATATCAAATGAAAGGGAAATATCTAAGGTTTCAATACAAAAAAATATTATTTTTATTTGTTCATTTTTGAAAAAGTTATGGCAGTTTTAAGTACAAAAAACATCCCGATAAAATGTAATTTTTATCGCAAACATTACATTTTTTTTTAAATTTTCGACAGCCATTTGCACATAGAAGATAAGATGTCGGGACAAATTTTTTTTTTTCATTTGATAGTATATAACATAACCTTTGATTTGATATATGTTTAAAGGACGCAGTATTTCCGGAACATTTTCAAAAGTTCAGTTGAAAAAGATCTATGTTTTTTACAATATTTTAAGTTTTGAACGCCCCCTATATAAGGGGAAATTGTCCAATTTTAATAAAAAGTATGTCAAATGAAAGATGTACTTATAATGTATTTAGAAAAAAAAAATTTGTGCTGATATATACATTTTTCAAAAAGTTATAGCATTTTTAAGTTGAAAATTTAAAATCGAAAATCGAAAATTTTAACACAAAAATAGTGTTTTTTTAACTACGGCAGCCGTTTAAATGTAGAAAAAAAAGTGTCGGGACAAATTTTTTTTTTTCATTTTGTAGTACATAAAATAAGCTTTAATTTGATATATGTTTAAAGGACGCAGTCTTTCCGGAACATTTTCAAAAATTAAGTTGAAAAAATTAATTTTTGTAAAAAAGTTGCCATTTTAAATCCCCCCCAATGAGCAGGTTAAGTGATAGATTTTCAAAAAAATGATATCAAATGAAAGGTAAATATCTAAGGTTTTAGTATAAAAAAAAATTATGTTGATTTGTTGATTTTTCAAAAAGTTATGGAAGTTTTAAGAAAAAAAAGTGAAAAAATTTCGAAAATTAGCGATTTTTAAATTTGTAATTTTTTTGGATATTTCCCCCATTTGCGGGGAACGAGGGAATTTTTTTCAATTTTTAAGGGTAATGTCTTCAACTAGATACGATTTGTGATCTTTTGACGTATTTTTGAAAGAAATCGGTCCAGTGAGAGCTGAGAAAAAGTGGCAACAGACATAAAAAAAAAAAACACATCATAGTAAAATTAATACCTTCTCCGCTTCGCATCGAAGCTAAAAATACAACCACCAATTAAATTAAAAACATTTAAAATTAAATTGTGTAATACATAAAAACAATCAATTGCCTCGTAAATTAAACATTCATTACAAATTTATATTGATAATTTATAATAAAAAAATCATTATTAGAAAAAATTAACTTTCTAATTAAATCGCAAAATGAAAGATTGTGATCTTTTTTATCAAAATTTATGTAATAAAGTATTTACAAATGCTCTGCCAATTTCTATTGATATAAAAAAACATTTAGATTTCAATTTATATTTATTTTAAAATTATCTGATATTATTTGTATCAACAATAAAACATCCTACTATTTTCGATTTGATAGGATAAGTATCAATATTAATATATTTGGTACTTGAAAACATTTAAAGTGACTTCACCAATTAAAATATTTTTTAAAATTTAATTTATTTATGTATAGTATAATTAATGAGTAAAAATATTTGTTTTATGTCTCTATTAAACTTGCATTAAAATTGTTTAAAATTAAGAACTTATAATAAGTTTAAAATGAATTTAATTTATTTAACTTATACAAATTTAAATCTTCTTCTTTTTTTTTTAATAGGATATTTATCTCAATAATTTATTGGGCATAACTGATGTCTAAATTCCATTATACGATTAACAAATTTTGTAATGGATTAAAAGCCAAATAAACCCGATAGGCGCAGCGACTACAAAAACGATTAACGCGAATTTTTCTCACGTTTTGGGTATAACCGCGAATTGCTTTGCGACAACGGACGGAATCTGGTTTCTAACGAAATTACTAACGCGATAAATAGTTGAGAGGCGGAAGCCTGGACCACACCTATTTATCATCCGCTAGCAAACCCGGTAAAACGGAAAATTAGGAGCTAAAAAAAGTTCTCTGCGCCCTACTGGTAAAAGGCAACCATAGAACCTGGGAAACAAAAATACCGTCAATTCTATTTGGGTTGCGTAACCGTCGTAATGAAAAAAACCGATTATTCACCATTCGTACTCGTATTCGGACGACAGGCGAAACGAACTGGTGATTGGGCGATCGAACATGTAAATATGACTGTAAATGCGACTGCTGGCAATGTAAACAATGGCCACCCATCATCTGAACAGCAAGCCGGCAAAATAATAGATAACATTCCGACGAAACACGTAGTAAAACATTTTACGGTCGAAGACCTTTTGTGTATTATAAAGTATACCATTTATCTAACAAACAAACAAAAATTTTTGTTGGTGGGGCACCGTCAGATTAGCTGAAAAAGTTTTTAATAATCTGTCAAAAATTAATTTCTTCTTATAATCTTCGCTAATGACGAAATTCAGAGAGAAAAACAATTATTAAGTCAATAGGAATAGAATTTAAATTGGTATAAGTTAATCTAACAGACTTATCACCTTAAACCCAAAATATAAACAAACACTTCATAACACCTAGGCAAAAACAATGCATGTAGTCCAAAAAACAGTATTAGTTATGTCGAAATCAAATTAATCTAATGGACTACCTCTTGGTAGTTTTCATCAATTATTTGGCGGATCTGATTGATCATATCTCAAAGCAGAATTAGTACTACTCACATGATAATTTATAAATGAATCTTTATGTATACATGAACTGCAGCCATGATAAATATTGTGCCCTTTAAAATTCAAAATGAAAGCTTTCACTAGAACGTCCTAAACTACTAAAAAATTTAAAATTTAAAAATTATACCATTAATTAATATTCTATTGGTTAGGTTACCATATATTAAAATCGCATAGCCTACATCGTTACGACATTGCACATCGGGGTATTTTTAATTGTATAATTAAAAAACAAATTACTAGAAGTTCTTTTAGTGAAACATAAAATGCTTAAATCACAATAGATACTAAATATACAGACTGATTATATACGCCTCATGAAATATTTTTGAAACAATTAGAACTAATCTTGAATGTTCTTTTTTGAACTGCTTTACACGAAAAATTCTTTTTTTGCTACCAACTCTTATACCCTTAACTCATATGAACTTTCGATTTTCAAATGACAACCCCATTTTTTTTATAACCTCAAATGTATTAAATTAGAAAAAAAATGTATGTAAAAAAAAATTATTTTATATTTCATTTTCAACGAGTTACATCAGTGTAAACTTTAGAGGTTATTGAGTAATGATAATCTTTAATAATTGCAATATAGTAGTAGTACCGGTTTACACCCGGCCCAGATAACATGTAACATACGCGCGAGTGCTCAATTATAGTGTAAGTTTCATTAATAAAGTTTTCTTAAAATTAATTGCGGTATTGATAATGTCCCTAAGTAAACCCGCTAACCATTGGTCCTTCGTCCGGATTGAATGAAAAAATTTACTTATTTTGGGTAGTGCGTTATTTTAATGAATGCCAACCTCGTGGCAAAGTGCAGCCTTGTCTTAAAAGTATTTAATATGAGATACTTTAATATTATATAAAATTTGATTGTCTAAAAATAATTGTGCGTAAAATCCATTTTATACAATTACTTTTGTTGGCATCGTAAATTATATTGGAGCGAAGAGAGCGATAGTGTCGAAGAAATAATACGCTAACAGGCAACTCCGTTTCGGACATATTATTAGCGTGTAAAAATACAATGGCTGAATTAATGAGTCTTATCTCGCAGAGAGAGAAACTGAAAGGTCGGGTCACACACCTTGCTATTTACATGTAAGACAATGCAGCCAAAATGAATGTTGATCAGCTTGCATTTCGGCTAGAAAAGGTGGTGGAGACATTTTATAACGGGCGGGTGGGCCCGATAGCCTGATAAGGCGACCACCTCTTGAAAGACTGGGTCTTTCTTGGGACTCGGACGGGTGTCCGAATACACGGGAGTGGCAAGAGCCGCGCAACCGCTGGTCGGGCTGACACGGCTCCGGGTGGGATGGTACACGTACCGGATTCAGGTTCCAAAGGACAAAGGACCATGCTGCTATAGATGCTTAGAGAGAGGTCACGTGCAGACGGTCTGTAGTGGCCCCGACTGGACCGGTGCGTGCTTCACATGCAAGGCTAAGAACTGTGTTAGGAGTGCGGAAGGGCCGGAGAAGTCCACATAGGGTATCTCCTGTCCTCTCGCTACTTGTGTGTTTTCTCGTGAATTTTATGCCAACCCACAGCAAAGCCCTACCCCCACCTCCACGTGGTGCGACCTGGGCAACGGATCCCACTCTGGGATTCGGCTAACGCGGGAGGCCACATCGTGTTGTGACTAGCTCTTGATTAAATTCGGACTGAGTCACAACACGGCGGTATGAGTTTTAATGCGACGTTAGGCGGCCTGAAGCAATACCTCATGGTAGTTCCAGGGCGTCCAACATAATGTCAACCGTGTTAAAAAGAAAATAAAAAATAGAACATATTCACATCTATTGTACTGGACGATATTTTGTAACTAATTATATACGAAAACATGTATATTTAAAAAATATTTATTACAATAATAATAATTAAATAAAACTATGGGTCTTCCGGTGGTGATATACCATAATGCCCGTGGGCCAACGTGTCGATTCTGTTGTCGAGCGTGTAGTGCTTATAGTCGAAACATTTCAGCGCCAACTTGGTTGTACGCAAAGTGCGTACCTCGTGCTCGAGCGAACGGATTGACATGTTCTGTCGTTACGGAGTGTAGGGTAGCAGTGACGGACGTTGTTCACCACCACGTACCATTCCGATGACCGCACGGGCATTCTTTCCAGCCAATGCTCGTTTTGACGCATCGTCGCCATCGCCACCGTCTTCGACACAAACACCGTTTGTAATGGTCTAAAGACAAATGGCTGTCAGATGGAGTAGGTTGACCAAACATCACAATAGGTCAATTGACTTGTTTCCTTTTTTACTGAACATTCTGTATACAGGGATTGTTCTGCAAAGTTTTGACATCTCTTATGACTATTTATCCAATGAATATTTTTCGTTCCTTATTTTTTCTTTAACATAATAAATTGTTAAGTCTATTAAAATATTAAAATAGATATTTATTTAATTTAAAAACAGTAACAAAGTAGAGACATGACATGGTTGGGACAATTATAGATAATATCTGACAATGATCATAAGAAATGCTTTAATGCAAATCAGTATATGCTGTATAATTTTAAGAAATTCACTGATTATTCCAAAAGCAATATTAATTTCTATTTCTTTAATTAATCCTGATTAATTATTTAATTAATATGTTTAATATATGAATTAATGTAGTTTTAATTGTAGTAATTAATCTTAGTATAAAATTGATATTCAATAATCTAATATTGTAAATTTACGGAGTAATTATAAAAACAATTTAAAATAGATGTATATTTCGTTACTTCTATGGTAAAGGTTAATACATATTGAAGAGCACTATGCAAAATATTTCAATGAAAATAATTTAAAAAAATTTGGTCTAAACTTGGCTACAAGGAATATTCATTTGTGACAATAATATAAATTATATTATATAATTTTTCTAAACCAATTTTTGAGCTAATTTCAAATCAGCAAATATATATTTTTTCTATCACTTCTAATTTTTCAGATAATTACTAATTAGTAAAAAAAAAATTATAAAACATAAAAAATAAGTTTTTTTTTAACACATGTTTGAAGCTCCGAGTATTTCCGGAACATTTTCAAAACTTAAGTTGAAAAATTTTAATTTTGGATGCGAAATTTGCTATTTTGAATCTTCCCTCCCTGTGAGTTGGTAAAGGGTCAGATTTTCAAAAAATCTATTATAAATGAAAGGAAAATGTCTAAGTTGGTTATACAAAAGAAAATATTTTGCTTCGTTCATTTTTAAAATAATTACTGCAAATACTTTAAAATAGTCTCACATTGTTAGTTCCTATAGAAGACTGACTCCAATAACCCGCTTAAAAACAACCTAAACACAAAAAACAAAGGTTCCTTTTTCTAATCAAGTCCCTTCGTTGCTGATTGGATAACAACTCAGATCAGGTACACTTATCATTTCTATGAGAAACATATATTGTATAAGGAATAATTTCTGTTGACACAAGGGCTCTTTTCTCAAACAGTTAACCCCTGTTTGTCTTTTACACAGATCACAAAATTTGATTATGTCCTACATAAAATACAACACATACATCTATTAACTATTTATTATAAAGCTCACAAAAAATATATGGGAGACAATTATATGTCCTATTTAATGATCTGTTATTGTTTTTGCTACTACTGAGTCTGGTGAATCAGTTTTTCTTATAAGCATCAATTCCATCAAATCATATAGAATCTAATCCAACTGTTGAATACACAACTAATTCTTCCTTCGATTAAGTGAACACCTTGTCACTTATGATTCTGATGTAACCAATCTTATGAACCACGCACCAGACAGGACAACCTTTTATTTCACTTGTTTTTTAACAAAAAACCAGGTGCATCTCCAACGGAACAAAAAATCGCGCAACAATACATGACACCTCTTTTCATGCTATCAGCGTACTGGCAATGATAACATTAGCAATATCGCCAACGTTTTCTGTGATGCGCGAGTAATTCCATTATTATTACTTAACTTTGAAGTAAATAAGGTAGTATTCGGCCTTCCTTCCATCCACCATGAAGTTCAGGGTTGATTGAACAACTACAAAATTAAAGCGGTAATTGATTACCGAAAATCAGTATATTTATACATAATTTATGTTTTACACATAATACTGATAAACATAGTTTTTTAAAGAGATTTTTTTTTTTAACAGATAATAGCATTGAATTAATATTACAAATTTAAATTATATAAATATTAAATTTATTTTTGGTATCACACAATAATTTGGCATTTTAGAAACTTAATCAAATTAAATAAAAACAATAATATAACATGCCAGATACAGTAACTAGTTGTCCAATTCATTGTCTCTGCATCCAACATCTTTAAACAAAACTTCTTCAAGAACTAAGAAAAAATATTACATAAAAATTCTAGTTTTAAATTCTGTAAAACAGTTTTTACTTTGGAATATTTTGTTAACACAATTAACATTGGTCGCCGTAACACACATTTCCCACGAGTCCATTGGTACACGGTATAGATCCTCATTTAAATCAATATTTTTAATTCCTCTTTCTAATTCTTCATCATCATATTCAGGTAATTCATTTCTAAAACATAAATATAAGCTTAGAAAACAAAAACAAGTAGTCATGAAATTGTTTTAGTTTTTTTTAACTATGCTTTAATTTTTAAATCTTTAAGACCTTTATGGTTACAACTATGAAAAAAAGATATTTTTATTAGTACTAAATAAGTTTCCCTATTATTCGATATATGAAAATAAATAAATTTTTAGTTTGGTTAACGTTAAAAATGTATCAAAGTTATTTTATAAAGTTAAATTAATTAATTTAAGTAAGATAGCTCTTTATTTTTTTGGTGGGTTATACTTAATAAAATTAAATCTAGTTTCTAGTTATTTTTGATATAATCATTGTAAAAAATATTTATGATTTAGTTTTGAACTTAAATCTAACATACTATTTTCAAAATTAAACTAGCTCTAACAAGTTTAAAAATATGTGTTAACTTGCTCAGCCTTGTTAAATATAGTAAAACAAACCAAAGGTAAAAAAATTGAATTGAAAATAGTAAAAGGACGCAATTATGAGGAAAAATATTCACGCCATTTTAATATATTTAACTAAGTTAAAAATACTTGAACAACCTACACAATGTTATTTTAATAACTGAAAAAATACCTAATTCGTTTCATAAGTTCAATTCCACGTTTTTTTGCCTTGTACGATAATTGAACTAAATTAGATGTATCTTTGCTATCATATAATGCATCATGCTAAAAATAAATATATTTTTAGTTCACTAAGATCAAGTATTTAAGTTGATAAATATACATACCATAGAACTAACATCAAGAGAGGAACTTGTAGAGCTATAAAAAGTGGAAAATGAACCATTTTTCTCCAGTATCTAAGTTATTAAAAAGAAAAGATATTCATAAAAGGTACATCAAATAATAACATATTAACATCATTAATCTTATATAGTCAAATGTCTACTCTTTGGGTATTCTATAATCCACATTATTATAATTTTAAGAAATTTTGCTTACTCGAGTAGGCAATGTAGCTAAAGATGCATTTGCTGAAGAAGAGAGCATATTTTCATTTTTTCTTTGTGATGGAGAATGATCTCTTGATGTCTTAATAAAATAAAAATAAATAGCAAACAGTGGCACAAAATATAATAATTACAAATAGATTATATATTATATATACATGAGAAATATAACAGGCAACTATAGGAACAGAGCAAAGACACAATACTATTACTTAATACATATATATTTATTCACAAACAAAAATAACATATATAAAGCAAAATACACATAAGCATTAAAATTCACACAAAAACATGTCTTAGCCGACTCACAACTTAATTTAAATTTTCCCTTCTTATAATACTAAATGATACCACTATCTGCCTCCAGATCCTGGAAGTGGTGCCATTTAGACACCAATGGTATCCACATTTCGATCCTCTTTTTCATCAGTCGTCTCGACTGATTGACAGTTTTCCACATCTTCCTCATCAATTGTATCTATTTGGCTCCACGGCTTCATGTAGTCAACACCAGATGATGTTATAACGGGACCTTCAGATTCACAGATTTTGATCATTTCATATCTGTCTGGTCCTGTCTAGTATGGACCCAAAAACTTTCTATGAATTTTAGAAAGTGGCTTGAATTGTGTCCTCAAAATAGAACAAAATCACCTAGGTGGTAATTATGGGCTTCCTTTCTCTTTTTATTAAAAGTGTTACGCTGCTCTTCTTGATCTTTATATATTTGTTTTTTTGCTTCCTTACACAATTTATCCTCTCCTCCACAAAAGCATTTATATATTCTTCCTCAATTATTTTAGTCAACTCAAAATATTGAGGATGTCTCATCTCAACTCCAAATGTCAACTTGGGATTTGATGTTGTAATGGTGTCATACCAATGCTTCTCTGAAAGGAACTTGAGCAACATTCTTTATTAAGTATTAATGTTTGGGTTGATCTAAACTTAATTTGGTAATGACTGGAATAATAATTGCATTTAATCTTTTTATTTGCCCGTTATTCCTTGGTATTCCTGTAGTGATTATTACATGTTGGATGTTTTCTTTACTACAACAATCAAAAAATTCTTGTGAAACAAAAGCTTCTCCATTATCTGACACAATTCTTTCTGGATTCCTAAAAGTAGTAGACAAAGTTTTCATTTTATCAGTGGCTTCCTTGAATGTAGTAGTCTTGGTGGGAAACATCCAAAAAAATTTGCTAAAACCATTAATCACTTCAAAAATATATTTGAATCATTTAGCTGTAGCAGCTAATGTTTCGAAATGTCCTGTTTCATGTGCTTTTCAGATTACATCTTTTTGTATGAATCTAGGGACAACAAACAATTTTTGACCATATTTTATCTCGTACAGTAGATCATGTTCAATTAAATAGTTTTGATCAGTTGAAATAGTTCAAACTTCCATCAAAGCACTAATCTCTAAATCCTCTGAAATCTCTGAATTTTGGGCTCTTCGTAATTTAATCAAAAATTAATTTTCAATTGCTAAGCACACAGGATATCGACTAAGACCATTAACATGGGGTAAACGAGATCTACTTCGGTGTTCAACTGTATAACTAAATTCTTTAAGCAGTAGAGCCCATCTTGCAACTCTAGTAGCTAGTCTTTTTTTTTTCATAGTCATTTTGAATCCAGCACAGTCAGTTACAATTTGAAACTGTATACTTAAGAGATAAACTCTAAACTTTTTCAAAGCTTCGATAATAGCAAGTACCTCTAGTTCATAACTATGATATCTTCTTTGGGCATCACTGGTCTTCCTGCTAGAATAGTGTATTGGATGAAAATTACCATCATAAGCATCCTTTTGTAATAATATAGCCCCAAAACCATTAGCACTTGCGTCAGTACATAGTTCTGTTTCAGCATGAGGATTATATATATGTAAAACTGGATTATTCACCAGTTTTCTCTTCAGTAAATTTATAGCATCTTGTTCTTCTTTTCCAAGTTATACTTGGCTCCATTATGTAATAGATCGGTCAAAGATTTAGCAATCAATGAATAGTTCTTTATAAATTTTCTTAAGTATCCAGTAAGACCCAGAAAACTCTGTACTGCTTTTATTGACTTAGGTAAAGGAAAATTTATAACTGCAACAGTCTTCAATATCGAAGATCTTATAGTATTTTTAAACAAATATGGTATCCTAGATATTCAATTTCTGTATGTAGAAATTGACACTTGCTCCATTTAATGTGTCCATCTAAATCATCCATATATGTTAACAATAATCCCTTTTGAATGTAATCTTTAAAGACAAAGTTAATATATCTTTGAAAAATAGGAGGTGACACGCACAGTCCAAAAGGGGTTCGCAAATATTCATATTGTCCACTAGGTGTGACAAAAGAGGTATACTTAATGCTCTCTTTATGAACTGGAACATGGAAAAATCCATTTCTCAAGTCAAGAGTTGTATAAATTGAAGTTCCTTGTAATTTATCTATTAATTGCAAAGGGTATCTATCTTTGATTATCTTCATATTTAACATCCTGTAATCTACACAGAGAGATATAGAGAGTTATCTTTCTTCCTGACTAAAACTATTGGACTAGCGTAGTCAGAACAGATAGGTCTAATAATGTCTTCTTGTAACCATTCCTCTATTTGTTTGTCAACTTGACATGTTTCTGCTGGAGATAGGTGCCGTGGTCTTTGATAAACAGGTTTTTCATCTATTAATAAAATAACTATTTCAATCGGTGCATGTTTTACTTTATTTGGTTCATAATCTTACACTATATTATTAATTTCCTCTGTAAAAGTTGATGCACCTATATTGAACTCATTACAAGATATATTAATAGACATGATTTGATTTTCTTCTTCAAATTTAGTTATTCTCACACACTTAGGTTTATGTACAGTTCAGCATTTGTTTAAAGTATAACTTTTCCTACTAACAGGTCATATGTAATGGCTTCATCAGGAACAACATAAATATCAATAGTATATGATGACTCGATAACACTTAATTTGCTAATAAAAACGCCTTCTGTGTAGAACTTAATTCTTCCTGGTAAACCTAGTAAAGTTTTATCTTTATGAATTGTGACTTCATCCAACTTCAACATAAATGTATCAACTAAAGCATTAGATTCTACATATTTTATATCAACTAATTTACTTATACGATTAGAAGAATATATGATATCATTAACTTGTACTTTAATATTTTCATCTCTTTGACTTCTACAGTATTTGGTAGACAAGCTGATAGACAATAAGAACATGACGATGCTTTGTGACCAAATTCCTGGCATAAAAAGCACTTAAATCCTTTACTAGCATCAGGACAACAACTAGAACGATGACCCTTTGTACCACAGTTCTTAGCAACGATTAATGTTTGCTGATTAACCTTCATGTTTATATGATTTAAATGAAGAATTAGGTGATACATTCAATTTTTTTTCTCAGAAATTTATGTTTAACTTAATTTTCTCATACAATTCAAATTTCAATTTTAGCTTATCAATGGATGTAGCGCTCTACAGTATCATCTTGTTAACTTCCAAGTCTCTTATACCAGCTATGATATAATCAATAAAAGAATTTTCTTCAATATTGCCTAGTTGAGCAATAGGTTTATTTTGAAAACATACTGCTGATATGATTCATCATTTTTCTTACAATGCTCAGACAGTGAAGTATGAATAGCAGCTGTGTTCATATGACTTTTAAAGTCATTCTACAGTTTATCTTTTAAAATTGTCCAAGTAGTAATTCCCCTTTCCAATTGAATATATAATTGAGCCGTTCCCATTAATAAACGTTTAACATAAATTAACTTCTCAGGATCGGACCAATGTAGTACACTAGCCATTTCTTCAATTTATTGATTAACTGAATAAGCATCATCACCAGAAAACTTAGAGAGTGATTCTTCAACATCTCTAAAGCTTAAATAAGATTTGCTATGCTCAAGTCTCAAAGCAAATACTTCCTCTCAAAGTCTAGAAACTTCATCTACAGTTTCATTAGAATTTTTATTCTTAGGCATCTCAAACTGTTATATAATCAAAAAGTTTTATAAAATTCAAATTGATGTTAGAAACCGATTAACAATGAAAAGATCTTCCGAAAAACAAAAAAAGAAAAATTGTATGTTTACTCAACAAAAATGGTGTTGTCTACTAATACAATTACAGAAACGACACTTAAAATATACACAACAAATAGTTTGAAAATTATTTGGATTTTGAGTAGACAAGATATCTTCCCTAATCTCTATTCTCGTTTCTCGACTGATGATCCCGGACAGACCTCCAAAAACTTGTGGTAAATACAACAGGCAACCACAGGAACAGAGCAAAGACACAATACTATTACTTAATACATATATATTTATTTACACACATAAACCCTGTTAAATATTTACAAACAAAAATAACATATATAAAGCAAAATACACATATAAATTAAAATTCACAAAAACACGTCTTAGCCGACTCACGACTTAATTTTCCCTTCTTATAATACTAAATGGTACCACTATCTGCCTCCAGACCCTTAAGTGGTGCCATCTAGACACCAATGGTACACACATATATATATAATAAAGTTCACCAAAGATAGTACAGTATTTTTAGAAATAATATTCAATAATTAAATGCATACCGCAGGGGGTTGTGGAAACATATGCCAATCACCAACAGGTTCATAGTGGTTAAGACTATTTTGATCCCATAAGTCACTATCATCATCATCTTCATCATCTTGTAAAAACATGTCACGTCCGTGAAAAGATGCAGACCTCAAAACTGGATTTCCAGTGTTATAAGAGCTAATTGCTCTAATAATAATTTATTTACTAGTTATTTAATAAATATTCAAAAATAAATTTTAGATACCCTTTAGAAAATGTAGCTTTTTGCAATTCCTTCTTTTTGCCTTCAGCAGCTGCTTTCATAGGATCATAATTTTTACGTCGTTTCCAATTTTCTAATTCAGTTTCTTTATTTAGAGGAACATTTTTATTACTAAGTATACTAGAATTCCATTTTTTTTTTGTTGACAAATTTTTACGTGTGGATAATAAAGGCGACTAAAAAAAACATACATTTTATGCATGAAAACATTTTGAAATAGTGATTTAGATTTAAAAAAATTTATCAACTAATTTATTTACTAATAGATGTTACTCATATGATCTGAAAGTAATTTAAAAGAAGAAAAACCCAGCACAGTGGGGTCGCGGCATAGTTGGACACAGTATAGATTTAATTCAACTAGATACGATTTGTGATCTTTTGACGTATTGTTGAAAGAAATCGGTCCAGTGAGAGCTGAGAAAAAGTGGCAACAGTCATAAAAAAAAAAAACACATCATGGTAAAATTAATACCTTCTCGGCTTTGCATCGAAGCTAAAATCTCTATAGTGAAATTCAGATCATACAGCTAACACACATTGTTTTCTGAATTAATCAATTAAAAAAAAAATTTGAGAATGCCCTTTTAAATAACATCCAAATAAATAAATAAAAATTTTCCTTACAGAATTTGGTTGAACTGCCTTTGTTGTTCTCAAACTAAAGCGACCACAATCTACTCTTGACATTGATGAACTTAAATTTTGTGACGTTTTGCTTAAACAAGATTTATCATTACCAGTCTTTAAGTCTTGTTTTTTTTTAGAATCTTCAGATGGCTTTGAAAATCTATCTCGACGCAAACTTAAAGGACACATTTAAAATTGAAATTTAATATAAAATTTTAAAAATTATTTTAGTATGAATAATGAAATAATAATAACAACATTAAAACTATTTACAGTTTTAATAGCTTACTTAAATGTTCGATTGGATTGAATACTTTTATAATTATTAGCTTTATCTACTTTAGCTTCCATCATGTTCATACAATTTTCAGCATCTCTTAAGATAGATCTAGTGTCATCATCACTGCTAGCGTTTTTAACACTTTTATCCTAAAAATATATTTGATACCATACTTTTCAAGAACTAAACTTCAACAAAAATAACTTACACTTAAATCTTTTAGACTTGATGAATTCAATAATGGTATATTTGACTTTCTTGAAAATCTGTTTGATTTTGGAGATTTTGGAGGTTTGATATCTATTTAACAAAATTATTCAAAATTAAATTTTAAACAGCTATGATTTCAATTTTTTTTTAAATATAATTAAAACTTTATTCACCTGATTTCGGTACATTCAATTCCGAAGAAGTATTTATCTTATTTTGATTCAGTTTAGAATGCCATTCATTGACCCAGCTAGATCGTAGTTTCTAAATAAATGAAAGTAGGAGTAAATACAAATACAAAGTTGTTATCTAATCATAGTAACAAAATTGCTAAGTAACAAAGATTTAGTAAATTACTTTAACCATAGAATTTGATTTCTTGAATTCTTCATTATCAGTATCAAAATGAGGCATTGTATCAGATTTACTGTTGTCATTTACAGAATTTCTTTCTATGATATAAGTACCCGTGCTACCTGTGTCACTATTAGATGATAAATCATCATCAAAATCATTAGAGTTCAATTTATTTTTAAGAATTGCACAATTATTATCTAAAAAAATTGTCAAGTTATTACAAAATAATTGAATATTCTGATATACTGATACATTTAAAAATTAAAAATAATAAGACGTAACATACCATGTAAGGAAGAAGTAGAAGTAAAATCTATACTTTCATTATTTGACTAAAAAAAAAAAATAATATCTTTAAAAGAGTAGCGTTAATAAAAGTTATGTTAACAATTTAGTTACACTAACAATAGATGTTGACTTAAAAACATTATTGATGGGAAGCGAAAAGTTACGCTGATGTGATCGTATATATGTATGAGTAGATGGTTCACTACTTTCATTAGGAATTTTACCACTAGGCTTTTTAAGTCTTGTAGATAATTGCTCTTTTAACTTATTAGTTGAACTCATTTTTAATAAAAATTCTGAAACAAAATAAATGTTCATATTATTAAAAAATTAACAAATACTCAATTTCTAATACAATATTTAATCAAATTAATAAAAAAAAAAAAAAAACTTCCTAATAAATATTAAAAGTATTATTTAATAAGTATAGAATAATATCAAAATTTACTAGCTAGTATTTAGACTAATTCAATCAAGAGTAGAAAACATAACACTTGATTACATAATTAATTACTGATAAATATTAATAAATTTTAATTTAGTAAAAATAATATGGGCCAAAGGAAAGAAATGAGCTTATATAAATGATTTTAGAATATATTTTTAAGTATAATATTATATCATGAAAATTTATCACTTGGAAAAATTATAGTTTTATGTAGGTCATAGAAAATCAGGCCTATGATTATAATTTAGTGTTAATATTTAACATTAAAATTTTTCATAGTAATACTATCATAACATTCTAAAGCTAAGGTTTAAAAATAAATATTGTGTGGGCTGTATAAACTTTTGGTAGATGATAAATCTTTAAGGTTTTTATACTAACTTTAAAAGTATTTATCGAATATCCTGAAACATTAAATATATATTTGGCATATTAAAGCAATTTGCCCAGCACTTAAAAAAAAATGGAAAATGCAAAGTATGTCATAAAAACAACTGGTACATATATTATTATTTTGAAATCATTAAATACGACAATTCGAGTTCATGATAAAAAATGTTGTTTATTTATGTTCTTCTGTGATTCAAATATCATATATTGCATTAAGAAGCAGCTGGTTGTTGTTTTAACATAAAAAAATCAACGTGTTATCAATAATACAAATCTCTTTTATCGGTAACTGATACTAAATCTTATACCACACACCAAGTAACACGTACATATTATAAAATGGTTTGGCAACCCTCCAAAATTGGCATTACACCAATAAGGCAAAATTCGTCGATAAATTAATTTTTTATTAATTCTATAGAATTTTAATGATTTTATTTCTCATATATTTTAAAATCATTCATCACATTCTATTTTTAAATTTCTAATTTCTAAATTTAAAATATACAAGCCTTTTCAAAGGATTAAATATACCCCCAGTCATTGTTGTGTAAACTGTTAACATCACTAAATATCGATGGCCATCGCTATTTTCTTATCAATCCAATAATGTTAGTATTTATTTATGAAATTTAGATATAAATCTTCACCCAACAGCACAAATACACTATAATATTTTTAAATCTGCGTACAAAATATTATTATTAATAAATAATCTCTTCTATTAACAAAAGGAAAGATAGACCAAAAGGTAGTTTCTTTAACAGAAATATTTCATTTAAGTATTTAAATAGATTAAAATGTCGGATTACGAAAGCGAAGGTAGTTACAGAGGTGGCAGCGATAGTGAGGTAATTATTGTTTAAATAATAATTTGCTTAATAAATATATGCTGAAATATGTTTCAATTAATTTATATTTTACAGGAAGAATCTAATGTTCAACGCAGAAATGCTTCAAGTCGAAGTGTTAGTAGAAGTCGTTCGGGTAGTGCTTCTGAAGCTGAAGAAAATAATCAGTATATAAATTTATAATAATTTTTATGTTTGTTGAATTAATTTAACTTACAATACTAAAACTATTAAATTTGTTTTATAGAGAAGAAGATGTTGGCGATGAACAAGAACCTGAAGGAGAAGACTTGAATTCAGAAGATGTAAACTTATTTAAAAATAATTTATTGATTACATAAATATTAAAGGTGTATTTTAATATGTTATTCATTCTACAGGAATATGATGAAGAAGAAGATGAAGAAAATGATCGTCCTGGCAAAAAGAAAAAGAAAAATGAACGTTTTGGAGGATTTATTATTGATGAAGCTGATGTTGATGACGAAGTAGAAGAAGATGATGAATGGGAAGATGGAGCAGGAGAATATGGTATTGTGAGTAATGAAGTAGACGAATTGGGTCCAACTGCTAGAGAAATTGAAGGACGTAGACGTGGAACCCTTTGGGAGTAAGTTTTATATTATATCGACTTTTTTTTATGTTTAGATAAAATTATTCTTTAATTCAAAAATAATAATTTTAGTTCCCAGAATGAAGATGAAATAGAGGAATATTTACGAAAAAAATATGCTGATGCTTCAGTTACAGTTAAACATTTTGGAGATGGAGGTGAAGAACTAGCTGATGAAATTACTCAACAAACACTTTTACCTGGTGTAAAGTAAGTTATAAAGCATTTATTAATCATTGATGGTTATAAACTAACATCTATTTATTATTAAATTTAAAGAGATCCAAATCTCTGGATGGTTAAATGTCGTATTGGTGAAGAAAAAAATACTGCTTTACTACTCATGAGAAAGTTTATCGCATATCAATTTACAGATGATCCATTAAAAATTAAATCTGTTGTTTCACCTGAAGGTGTTAAAGGATATATCTATATTGAATCTTACAAACAAACTCATGTGAAATCAGCTATAGAAAATGTAAGTAGTCTTAAAATGGGTATTTGGAAACAACAAATGGTACCAATAAAAGAAATGACAGATGTTCTTAAAGTTGTCAAAGTTCAAACAGGCTTAAAATCTAAACAATGGGTTCGGTTAAAAAGAGGTACTATGAATGTGATTAAGTATACATAATGTAATTTTAAAGATTATTTTTTTATAATTTATAGGTTTATATAAGGATGATATCGCTCAAGTAGACTATGTAGATTTAGGACAAAACAGTGTACATCTTAAATTAATTCCTCGAATTGATTACTCTCGGCCTCGTGGTGCACTAAGAGCAACTACGGTAAAGAACACTTTAGCTATAATAATTAACTGTGTTAATTGTTCAATAATTGAATTTAAAAGTATTAAATTTTTATTTTCAATCATTAACTTTCAGGATATGGAAGCTTTAAAAAGAAAGAAAAAAAGACGTCCAGCTGCAAAACCTTTTGACCCAGAAGCAATTAGAGCAATTGGTGGAGAAGTTACTAGTGATGGTGATTTTTTGATATTTGAAGGAAATCGTTATAGTAGAAAAGGATTTTTGTACAAAAATTTTTACATGAATGCCATTACCACTGATGGAGTAAAACCAACATTATCAGAACTAGAAAAATTTGAAGAAACTCCTGAAGGAATAGATATTGAGCTACCTGTTTCTAAAGATAATGCAGCAAATAGCCAAGCAATAAGTGCTGGTGATAATGTTGAAGTCTGTACAGGTGAATTAATAAATCTTCAAGGAAAAGTATTATCAATTGATGGTGACATGGTTACAATTATGCCAAAACATGATGATCTCAAGGTAATTTTACTACTTTTATATGTGGTATTTAAGTTAAATGTAATAAATAGTTATATTTTATAGATGCCCTTAGAATTTATGGCTAATGAGTTAAGAAAATTTTTTAAACAAGGTGATCATGTTAGAGTAGTTGGTGGACGTTATGAAGGCGATACTGGTTTAATTGTTCGTGTCGAACAAAATCGTATTGTATTATTTTCTGATGTCACAATGCATGAATTAGAAGTTTTACCTCGCGATTTACAATTATGTTCGGACATGGCATCAGGAGTTGACTCATTGGGACAATTCCAATGGGGTGATTTGGTGCAATTAGAGTTAGTTTTTACATAATTATAATTTTGAAATAACCACAATGCAAAATACTTTTATGATATTTTATTATTTTAGTCCACAAAATGTTGGTGTCATAGTGAGGATTGAGCGTGAAAAAATGCACATATTAAATATGGCTGGAAAGTTAGTAGAAGCAAAACCTCAATCGCTTAACAAGAAAAAAGAACATAGGAATACTATTGGTGTTGATGCATTAGGTAGCTCCATTCAAAGAAAAGATATTGTTAAAGTTATAGATGGACCACATACTGTAAGTATTAATTGAAAAATTATAATTTATATTAATATTTGTAACCTTATTTATTTCTCAAGGGAATGCATGGAGAAATAAAACATCTCTACCGTCATCATGCATTTCTTTACTCCCGTCTTATGACAGATAATGGAGGAATTTTTGTATGCCGTTTAAGACATATTGCCTTAGCTGGGAATTCAACTAATAAAGTATTTATTATAATGATTTAAAAATTTTTTTTTCTTAATATGTTTCTTTTTTATAAATAAATTTTTATTAGGCTCTTATTACACCTCAAAATGGATTTGCTTCACCACAAATCACATCTCCCAGACACACACCCGGTAGCCCATTTGGTGCAGGTGGTGGTGGTGGACGTGGTAGTGGAGGTAGTGGTGGAGGAAATAGATTTAGTGGTGTTCGTAGAGATAGAGACTTAATTGGTCAAACTATAAGAATTACTGGTGGTCCATATAAAGGAGCTGTTGGTATCGTAAAAGATGCAACTGAATGTACTGCAAGAGTTGAACTTCATTCCTCTTGTCAAACCATATCAGTTGATAGAAGAAATATCACTATTGTTGGACAACAAAACAAGGATGGAAGATTAACATCATCATACTCCAGGACTCCAGCTAATGTAATGATGACACCTGGTTATCGTGAAGGAGGCAAGACTCCAGTTCATGGTTCAATGACACCTAATTATGAAGCTGGTAATCGAACTCCACATTATGGTAGTATGACACCTTCACATGATGGATCTAAAACACCTACTCAAGCATGGGATCCTGCAGCTGGATATACCCCTGCTAGGATAACTGATGCTGATCTCGAATACCCAATGGATCCTGGTACTCCGTATGCACAAACTGGATATGGCTCATCTGATCACTCATATTCACCATATCAAGCAATTTCTCCATCTGGTGCTGGTTTTAATAGTAAGCAATTTTACATTTTATTGAAAATTTTCAATTTAATATTATAATATTAGTGAGATGACATGACTGACTCAATTAATTTTGTTTTCTATATGTTTAATACATATGAGGTTGATACGAACCTTAGAAATGATTTTATCTATAGATTTATCCATCTAAAATTAACTAATATTCTATTTCTTCTAAAAATATACCTACAAAAATATCCTTTATAAAATCCGCAAAAGCTAATATAAAAGTAGTCAGACAAATGTATTTGTGATAGTTATCTTTTTGTTTAGAAATAAGTTCCATAAAAAAAAATAATAAAACAAACTGTATAAAATATATTTATAATAGTGTTAATTTTTTTATTTGTAAGTTTCTGAATAATTACAATCCAAATAATAATATTTCAATAATATTGTATTATATTATAATATTATCAATATTATATTGCCAAATATATTATTAAATAACATAATTGTAATATCTTGGGATGAAATATTTTTAACTTATAATAATAGACTAAGCTTTAAGTTACACTAGGAAATTCATTGTTTAATTTAATAATTTGTATTTTATTTCTTAAAAGCCTTATTAAAAACCTTATGTACGTTTTGTATTAAAATTTTATTTTAGGTAGCAACTCTTATATTAATACACCAAGTCCATTAAATACTGCTAGTCCACGTAGTATTCAATATCATCCAGCACCATCGCCATCTGGGTCTTATGCCAGTTTAATGACACCATCATCTGTATCATCTCCAGGACTTGCAGCTCCCTCTTTAACATCATTTGGTATGTGATAGATATTTTTGTTAAATGCATTTTTTTAAATAATTATCCTTTAATTTCAGGTTTACCACCTGGTTGGCAAACTACTGATGTTTATGTTCGCATAGCTGATTCAGATTTAGCTGGCCAAACTGGAATTATTAGAGATGTTAGTGAAGCAACATGTAGTGTTTATTTACCAGAAGAGGAACGTGTAGTCACTATTGAAAATGAAAATTTGGAACCAGTTATGCCAAAGCCGAGTGATTATGTAAAGGTTCTTTGTGGACAATACAGAGATAGAACAGGCAACATGGTGGCAATAGAAGGAAGTGAAGGAGTAGTTTTGATGTCAGATGAAAAAAATCCATTACTTATTCCATTGTTACATTTATGTAGAGCAACTTAATTGTATTTTTTTTAATATTTGTATAAATGACTGTAGGCTCTTTGAAGATTACTATATATAAACAATTAAATTTATATACTAAATACTTAAATATCAAGTGATGATTATAAAAAATACAATAAATAATTAAAATATAACAATTAAAAAAAATTCAAGACCATATAAGGTCTTGATTTTTTTTAGTCTAATAAGAACAAATAATGTTCTTATTTTGAACTCTGATTTTTAAATAGTATTAACTGATTTCAATAACCAGCACTGAATTGAGAAAAATGGCACACTGACATTTTTGTTAAGAAGATTTCTTGTACCTATTCCTGGATTAAAATGTTCAAGTTGTTTATCAATTTATACTTAAATAACCTGCTTAATTTAATTTTAGATAAATTACCATACTCATTGATGTGATTTTATAGTTATCACGATTTCCTATTAGACCAGCTCTTTATTAGGATACCGAATGTTTTTTGGTAACTAGTTTGACAAACCCTATTCTTTATGTAACTATGATAAAATATCTTATAATTTTCTTTGTTAATGTAACAAATATTTTGCTCTAACATCAAGCCATCTGATAAATTTAATTTGTATACTACTATTTGTAAGATAATCGAATATTTCCATCGAATATCAATAGAATAAATAATATTTGCTTTCTTAAAGACAAAAATTCAGTATAAATAAACGTCTTATGTGTGTTATGTTTACCACAATGTATTTTTAAAAATGTTATTCGAAATAGTCCAAGCCGAACTAATACACACACATTGTTAATCAAATTACATACTACGGTTTCACCGAACATAAATGGCATTCAGCTGATCATATTAAACATGTTTCGCAAAACAGACAATTGTAACTGAATAAAAGGCTCGTAAATTAGAGACCAGGCCATAGTCATTAAAAAGCATAGGACAGTAATTTCGGCAACAAACAACAGCATTCGAGCAAAGCGGTCGTTGGTTTTTCGTATCACGTTGATTGTGCAAATTTCGGTCAATCCAAATTTGATGACATTGATGGCCACGTTGATAACGCCCAATATCAACAGCATAGTATTAATAACAGTATGTATTGCATAAACAGTCTGTCTTGTCAGGTTATTTAAAAGGTTCAAGAAACTCCCATCTGGATAAGCGCCTAAACTTTGTTGAAAATCATCTAGAGTACTTAGAATTGCTCTGGCCAAGTCCAACGTACAAGTATGTGAAATTTCCTAAAATCACAAAACAAAAAAATGTATTGATATTTATAATAATAACTATGAAAGTGTACTTTATACAGTCATGTAACAGTAAAATGTATAAAATCCCTTAACTTTTAGCTTTGAGAATTCTATTGATGAACGCATAGGGAGTCACAAAAATGTTAAAATTCAAATTCAGCATAAAAATGTTAATTACAAAATAAAAGTTTATTCATTAGCTCTTATGAGTTCCCTAAATAAAATCTGTCTTAGTTTTTATTTTAATAAAATAATCATTGTATTCATTTTTTAGATAAACTTGAAAAATAATTATTAATTGAATATAAAATTACTTTATCAGTCTTTTACAAAAGACAAATTTTTAAAAACAAAATGTCTAAATGGTAACGAGAAAAATATTTTAAATTAAAACTAAAAGAATGTGAAATTAATCAACTTGAATAAGCCCCTTATAAGGCTTGTTATTTTCAAAACTAAAATGGAGTATTCTTATATAAATAAATTTTAAGTTGCACTTCTACAAAGCAGATAAGTTTTAAATATCTTAATTTAAATAATTTTTTAAGCACTTGAAAAATAGACATTTATGTGTTAGACGTTGAAGCTAAAATAATAAACCTAATGATTATCGATAATCTAAGACAGTTTATAAATCTTACATTTCTAGCGTACCGAGGCATCCAAAAACTTAGGTTATAATTAAAAATGATTTACATTGAGTAAACTTTTATTTTATTATAATTAACAAGTTATTTAATAATAACAAATTTTATTGATACATTTCTAGCAATTAATTTACTAAAATTTGTAGCCAACAGAGTATGTAAAAATGTTGAACATTTTATTCTTCTTTTGAAACAGGTAATCGTTATTCAGTTACTCATTGATATTGTCAATTACATTACAGGAAAAATGAAAACCAATTAATTGTTAGTAAACTGTAGTGTATTTCGTCGAAAAATAAGTGAATTAAAATGTAAATAACATTTTTGGTATTAAAATAAAGTTAGCAAAATTGTGATAAATAAAAAAATTATCAAATGTTATTAATGTTATTTTAAAAGATGTACTACTTGGAAAACTGTCCCACTTTTAAACTAATGAGATACGATTTTTAAATATTAATTTATTGACCTCAGTAATAGCAATCGCTAAATAAAATCGAATGTATGAAAATATTGAGATGTTCACATTTTTCATAGGAATAATACTGAAATATAGTGACATAAAACACAACACAACTATCAACATTACTCGTACAACGTACAGAGTTAAGTATAGCAATTAGGCAATTGCCTAAGTCATGAAATGGCACCATCCGAACATTTTTATGTTCCGAAAAATTAACGCCTGACTGGTCAGTCACTAAAAGAAATGTTCATTGGACATCACAACGAACAATAATGGTGTGTAACGCTGAATGCGTATTACCTCATGAAATCCTAGTACCTTTTTTAACACGCTTATATTAGTTTCACTTGTATTCATTTTATTCTGCGATCGGTCATTTAGCATTGCGAGCCGTTGCTGCAATGGCTACTGTTATAAGATTACATTTTTCTCATAAATTCCTAGTACTAATAATCTTATTTTATTCGCTTATTCTTTGTCGATTAAGTGGCCTACAAATTACTCCTTATTTTCTTAATTGTAAACCAATTCCTATTGTCGGCTTGGTATGGAAACTTAAAAGAGGATATTTTTTAAAATTTTTGTTATGATCATCATATCACATGATTTTTATGATATAAATACGATCTTAAAATTGAAATTAACATATTTTATGTAGTCTTAAAAAAATTAAGATCATATATTTGTATATTAAATGGTCGTGATAATAAATTCAATATAATTTAAAGTACAGTAGAGACCAAACAAAATAAAGCTGAGGCATTTTTTAGATTAATATTGACTGATACTTGACAATAAATAAAACATTGTCGTAAAACGATTCGATGATATGCTACTTTCAAAAAAAAATTGAAAAAAATGAACACTCCTATCAAAAATTACATGAACTCATAGAACAAGTCATCAGAACGTCATTTTAATTTTAATCATACACTATATTAAAAAGTTATATATTAATTTAATTTTAAACGATTATGTACTGATAGCTTCAACTATTTACATTCTATGATCTTTTGACATATCATTGAATAAAGTTGGTCAGTAAGAGCGGAGTAATCGTTTTCAGTGGCATAAAAAAATAATAAATAAAAAGAAAATACACTCAGTGTAAATCCAATAGCTTTTCAGCTATGAATCCAATTAAAAAAATATCCGTTTATGAGTTTCCATTGCAAGCCGACACATATTTAGTATTTTATTTATTAATAATTGATAATTGAATAAAGAATTCTGATTTGATAAGTAAATGCCAATTACTATACAATCATCGTAAAATGACAAATTGATTACTTCTGTTTATTGGGTTGGGTTGGATCTATTTATTAAAAATTAAATAAAGTAGTAATAATAACAATTACATGGGAATATTAAAAGATACACATTAGAATCAAGGAATATTTTCTTATTTTTTTAATAAAATAAAAATATTAATTCATGGCTGAACTTCTTTCGAAGTCTATTATTTTTTTTATTTAATTCTTTGTTGAATCATTTTGTTCCACTCATTTACAGTAAGCATTTTTTATTTCTATCAGATTGAATATTATTATTCTTCCAAATCGATGCAATTTTTTTGGTCTACCTATTCAGAACTTAAAAAAAAAGATAAATAATTGATCATTATCCTTATGACGACAGCCTCGGAAAAAAATTTTAAATTGCTATTATTAAACGTTTTGTAGGAACAGTTGTCATGAAAATATATAAATATCTAACATATTTGTATAATAAACTCTATATTTATTATAATTTTTTTAATATAATTTATACAATTTAATAATTATAATCACGAAAATTAATTTGTTATTTTTTAAAAGGTTGGTCCCGTAAGATAGAATAATATTCCCCTGTGCCTGAAACATCTTTAGTTGTGATTTGGCTTTTAATTTCGACTATATCACAAGTCAGTCGTACGGTTAGGGTTTAAATAAATATTTCAGTTGCGTTTAGGAGAGACCGGATTATCGAGTATTTCAGTGTCACATATTCGAGAACTAAACTCATAAGGGGAGGTGTCCCTCAGGGTTTAGCCTTCGGACCTTTGCTGTGGAACATCGGTTCTAACCACATCTACCATTTTCGCTGCTGACCCACGTGAGTCTTATCTGTTACGCGGACGTCACGTTGGTGGTGATGGAATGCACTTCAGCAGAGACGGCTGGAAGTCTGAGCTAACTTTGTTTTCAGTTGCCTTAGCCTGGCGCTGTCTTGTTTGCGTAGAAGTGTCTCCTCCGTGGCGGCAATGGGTATCCCACTAATGGACTTAATGATACATATCTGAGTGTAGTGATTGACAGTTTTTTTAGCCACACATTAACACATTGTTTTTCCAACGGGACAAGTGATTTCTAGTTCACTCGTTTGTTGAATCATTCATGATCCGTTCGCCTGAGACAAAGGCAATCCCGAAACTCGGTACAAAGTGGCCAAAAGTGCTGGTTTTAACCAGCGCTGTAAAGAGTACTTTGTGTTAATGTGAACTATTTTATTGATAAAAATATTCGAGTTGGTTTTAGAAATATGTTTTTGTTGGGATGGATTCGGATTTACGTTTACTTGCGGATAGTTTTTCTTTTATAATCTTAAATTTTATTCAAGTATAAAATAAGTTAAAAGTAAGTTTTCTTTTGGGGTAAAAGATAAAAATAGTGTTGTTTAGTAGTTGCATCAAAAACGAAATCAGTTAAAATATTTACTTCACTGTGATATTCGAGCAAAGTGAATCATCATATTTAATTTTTTAAATAGTTTCTTGCTTACTTCAACTAAGTACACATGAATATAATAATAATTACAAGAGCAGAGTTAAAATTAAAAAAAAATTGTTCATATTATTACTCATTAAAAGATGTTTGGTAGCAATACTTTGTAATTTTTCTGTCCCTAAACTCAACTCAACTATGTTCGACCTTCCCCTACATAGCAGAACTATATCTGGTTCGATTTAACCTGATTCAGACTGAATCACGGTTCTGTTTATACTTAAATTAACATGTTGGTCTAATATTTTAAATAATGGATTTTTTTTTTTACTATACATTAAAAATATCATTAGCTTCTTCCAGATCCGTCCTTAAATGGAGAAAATTGACTACTTTAAATCTATGTAATATCGTTATTTTAATTATGGATTAATGTACAACAACTTAGGAACATTTTTGCTTATAGTCAAACCACGCACATAAAATAATAAAATAAAAAACTTATTATTTTTATCGTAATTTGTTCAAATTGATTTTTGATAGTGAACATTCTTATTAAAAATAAGTACAATAAATGTCATACACATAATAAATGCTAAACACATACAAACACATAGTATGTGTTAAGCGTTGATAATGGTAACATTGTTTCCGAAATACATATCCGCGACTATTCATTAATTTTTTGTGGCTTTGAGTTTAATATTTTTTAGTTTTTTAAATTAATAATGTTTTTAATATAGTTTTAATTTTACTTAATTAATTAGCCACAAGTGATCAATTTTTATTATATTATCAAATAACTTCATAGTCTTTTCTATTAATTTTTGACAAAAATGGTAGCTTTTTAAATATAATTATAGTTAGACATGTAAAAAATCTTATGGAACTTCTAAAATACCACAATATGATTTATATTTAATTATGATTTAACATCATGTTTTTAAAAAAATACTCTTGTGTTAATAATCAATATTTAATTTATGCGAATCTTGATTTATATTGTTGGATAAAGTATAATAAAAATGAAAAAACCCAGCACAGGGGGGTCGCGGCACAGTGGTGACGTGGTATAGATGGATCAAGTATAATGATATCTGACAGTGATTAAAATCACTATCAAAAAAAAAACGCTTCGATGCAAATCTTTAGATATTGTTTAATTTTAAAAAATTGGTGGATTATTCCAAAAGCTTCATGATCTGCTAGTTCATTATTAATATCCTAATTAAGATAAAGTATGTAGAATGAAAAAGGGATTATTAAAATATTATTTCTCATAAAAAAATAATGTTGATCCATACACTTTTCAATATGTCATAGCATTATAAAGTTAAAAATGTAAAAAATAAAATCGAGAATTTTCACACAATAATAGCATTCGGTAGCCATTTTCACCGTGAAGATAAAATAAAGTCCGAAATTTTTTTTTCGCATAATAAAGTAAATTACATTAGCTTTAATTTAAGATATATATAAAAGTGTCAGACTTTCCGGAACACTTTCAAAATTTAAGTTGAAAAAGTAAATTTTTTGTGAAAAAGTGGTCATTTTAAATCCCCCCCTGTGGGCAGGTAAAGGGTCAGATATAAAAAAAATATATACCAAATGATAGGTAATAATATTACACATCTATATAAAATAGAATTATATTGATATGTTGATTTTTGAAAAAGTTATGGCACTTTTAAGTAAAAAAAATTGAAAAAATTTCGAAAATTAGCGATTTTTAAATTTGTAATTTTTTTGGAGGTTTCCCCCATTTACGGGGAACGAGGGAATTTTTTTCAATTTTTAAGGGTAATGTCTTCGACTAGATACAATTTGTGATCTTTTGACGTATCGTTGAAAGAAATCGGTTCGGTGAGAGCTGAGAAAAAGTGGTAACAGACACACAAAAAAAAAAAAAAAATAAACACATCTTAGTAAAACCAATACCTTCTCAGCTTCGCATCGAAGTTAAAATGAAAAACATCTATTTTCATTTGTTTATCAAGGAAAAACAGCTATCAGTTGAAAATTACCTGTAAATATTTATTTTTAATCATATAAGAGATTAAAAAAGAAAAATGTTTTATGTTATATGTAATGATAGTATTTTATTTTATACTGTTTCTTTCAATAAAATAATAATTTAAGAAAAAAATATTTTATAATAAGTATTAATAAAGTAGACTATTATTAAATAATATTACTGATAAGTTTATTTGCTAGGAAACTTTTAGATATTTTTATGGAAAATAATTTCATATACTCATTAATTTTGTTTTAAATTTAACCAAAGACTAAAAAAATATTTTGTACATGCATTATGACTAATTTTTTTTAATATGTAAAATTAAGTCCAGTCACAAAGTCTATTTTAATTAATGTTTCTGTTTTGGTTCAGTCCGTTTAAAATTTGGTTCCATCCATTTTGGTCTGGGCAAACAATTTTATTTAATAGTCTGGTTTGGTTTGGTCTAATTTTTATTAGTTGTTCAATCTAGTCTTTTTTCCATTTTTCAGAATGCACAGTGGGCTAAAATAAAATTAGCTTGCATAATTTCAATTATCAAAGATTTAAAAAGTAGTAATTTGACTGAAAATTTTTATTCTTTATATTCATTTTTGATTAATATAATACTATTAGTGCTCCTGTAACAATTTTGTTACTCGTGTGTTATTTTTTGTTTCCATGGCAATTAAAAATTTTCAAGAAATGATAGGATATTAAAACCTATTCTGGCGTGGTACTAATTTTTACAAATTTACTTGTAATGATGAACGATATAATTAGACAACAGATGCGGGCCAGATTTTTGTTGAATTTTTCATCGATAGTCGCAAAAAATATCGTTAAAATATAGTATTAGCATATAACATAATGTATTTCCATATGTTATTTTGACGTATAATGTTTCAAATTAAGTTCATTTATTTGGTTGTGATTTACATTAAAAAAAAAATAACTTTATTTTGTAATTAAAAAAAATTCAAAAACACAATAACATCTTTCATGCGACTTAAAAATATAAGAGCCACGTATAAAAATAATGAAATGTGTAATACATGTTGGGTCTATTGAGGGGTTTGTGAGTTGGCGGTGCTTAATGTACATGAATGGCAAAACCTATGCTGCTAATTAAAAAATATAAAACTCCAGAAATTCAATATGTTGTAATTTTATTAATATGTAATATTTTATTAATTTGCATGAAATTAAAAAAAAATAAAATTCTTATCTAGCCAATTATTTTATTAATAATGATAAATTCTGATTACATATCTAATTGAAAATTTAAGCTTACTAATTTAAGAGTACCGTTAACATTTTTAAAAATTGAACAACGCGTCATTAGTTTTCAAAAAATAACATAAAAATTAGGATAGAAGCCTATTAAAAGTTTTGATTTTGCGGATTATACAATGAAAAAAGCTTATAAGGAGTCAACTATAGAAATTATTATTAGAAAACTTTATCATTTTTTAACAGTGAGTAATTTTATAAAATCAAAAATTACACAAACAACGTCGAAACAAAAAATAATACTTTAAATAATATAATTCTTACGTAATTAAATTTTATCATGAGTAAAGTGCATTAAGTTCATGATCAAATTAATTTTTTCTTTTTTAATTTAATTTAAAAGCTTATTAGGTAAAACTATAATTTTATGATATTAAGTAAATAAATGTTTTATTTAAGAAGACACCATTTTAAAACTTAATAATTTACTAATGATATTTTTAATGTTTAAGAATGAGATTTTTGGCTTATTTGTAAAATTAATCATTAGTTGAGTCTCATCTTAAAAAATTTGACATCCAAAAATTTAGATTAATAAAAATTATTGTTGTATAAAGATAATTTTGGAAATTAGACTGTGTTTTGCAAAATTTCTGATTACTTGACAACCTTAAAAGTATTATTATTGAGACTTTGAATATTGCATAATATATTTACTATGGGAAGAAACATAATTTACAATGCCATTTTTAGTAGAGTTTAAATGCTTAGCTAAAGAGTTAAAAATTAAAACCTAGCTTAGTTATGGTTATTTAAGATGTCTTTAATCGGATATTACAAAACGTGTAAAAACGAGATTACACTACTCCCATGGCCTTATCATATCAAAAACAGCATTTATACAAAAGACAACATCATTCTTTTGGTTTGTGTAATACAATTTGAATTTGTATCTTCCATAGAAAAATTCTTTAGGTAAGTTGAGTTTTTTATAAAAATCTGTATCTACGCTGTTAAATTGGTAAGTGCCCTTTTAAAATATAAATATCAATTAATATTTATAACATATTAATGAAAATTCAATGTTTTACTATGAGTTCTTACTGTTTTTATTGGGCAATCTGAAGATTTTAGGCGCCTACGTAAAGTTTCCCAATTAGTACTTCCACAAAAAAATTTCATAGAAGAACAAGCCTTTGGATAACTTAATATAAAGTAATTATCTTTCCAACCTCCTATTTGTGACCAAACCGCCATATTTACGTTGAACTAGAAAAATTAAAATACTCTTCTTATAGATATACTTAAACAAATATGGTCAATTATAACAATAAATATAAAATTTTGTACTTGAAAAAGTATCGTATTTTAGCTCTTTAAAGTCAAAGTTACAAGTTTTTCTCACAGTGAGCTTTTCAGCCGCAAAGTTGTCAACATTTAAAAGAAATTTTACGTAAACGTACTGGCAAGAGGAGGTCACAGCGATGGGGTCACAGATTTTCATAAAATTTATATAGATGTAATCTATATTGAATACAGAATCGGACGTATTTGGAATTTTTTTGCCAATACCTCCCCTAAGTCGAGAAAATTGACTTTGTAAAATTTTAATTAGCTTAAATAGGGTCATTTTTCTGCAGGTAAACAACCCGTGTAGTCTAGTCGATAATACGTGATCTAAAACAAGTACGGAATCGAATCTCAACGACTGACGGCATTTTTTTTTTACTGTTTTCTCTTTGAATTATTAATTTTATGCAATATTTGTTAATTTTTTTTTTACATTTCATGTATATCTATAGTTTTATTTGCATTCAAAACACATTTTGATGGCACAAATTATCGATTTTCCAATGGTAAAAATATGATTAAACTAAAACAATATTTTATGCACATAAATATAACTTTTACTATTAACCAGGTAAGAGTATATTTATTTTTTTAACTTTAAAATCAAAATAATGTTATAAGAATGCCATTAAAATTTGTTAACATATAGTTCTTAAAACTGAATATATAAATTCACATAATATATGTCATAAAGAGTTTTTGTTTAAAATATTTAAATATTATTTAAGCTATTTAAAATTATCCAAAAACATATTATAATATTGTACAACTTATTTAAATTAAAATTAATTTTTACTGTTAATGAATCATCAAATGGAATAGAAAACGTTACGTTTCCATCCACAGCTGTTTTATTGTAGGAGAGTTTCGTAAAATGCAAATTATGATTGATCAAATAATTAATTGTATCATTACACTTAAACAACGCTTTGAAACTGCATTTGTATGGTCCCTATAAAATAAGTGAACAATTAAAAAAATGTCTTTTCATTGGTTTTATTTATTAATAAATAAATTACTATTTAAATCTAAATCAATGTTTAATTTAATTTTTGTTTTTACATAAATTTATAATTAATGAATATACATTGAAAGAATAAAACTGTATTTTATTAGCAACATTTTAAAATATATAAAATACTGTAAACAGCTATAGTCGTTTTAATTGGAATTGTACATTTATATTTTATTTATTGCATAAGTTTTACTTACGCAAGGTAAATTAGGACGGTAAATGCTTTCAGGAGCGTTATATACTGTGATTAATACGAAGCTGAATACTGAAATAAAAAAGATAACCTTCTCAAACATTTTGAAAAAACTAACGAGTCAACGGGTAATAAAAACGGATGAATGCCAATAATTTAAGTATTCAATCCTAAAACTATTTCTCTTCTCCAATTTAATGAACGAATATAAATGGTTATAGTATGTACAACAAACATAAATATTTCTACGTTTCTGGTAATTATTTATTTGTTATCTATGATCGATTTTCATTTTGACTATTGTAGCTGTGATATTTTCTCAACCGCAACTAATTTTCTGCTAAAATAATTTATTTTCACCATAATATAATGTATTATTCTATAAGAAACATCTCAGTTCTGGTTAAAAAAAAATTAAGCAGTAAATTTACATTATTAAAATAATAATTATGGCAAATTTTTACTACATTATTTCAAGATTGTGTTAAAAAATGTCCTTAAATATATTTATATTTCAATAAATGTGTAAAATATTGTAAATTATTCTAAACACCAAGCAATTTGCGGTTTTTATGACCTTTATGATGTATAAAAATAATGTGTTAAATAACACATTAATAATCACAATAATCTCTTATCGACTTTGGACTCTTTCCGGCTTGCTAATAAACAATAAACGTCGACACTGACATTTTTTATTTTATAACCATTCAAGTTAGTGATAGTAAGATAAATTTAACTAATTTACGTTTGTTTTTTATCAATATAAAATCTAATATATTATTAATAATACTATATATTATGGTATTTAAAAATATTAGAACATCTTATATATATAAGATACTGTGTATACACACTAACAAAAACCGCCATACTTGTATTGACTCGATTAGAGTCAATCGCTATTTGTAAGTTATTCAAATTTTTATTAGACACCGTTTGTAATTATCTAACAATTTATTGTGTTGGATACAAATTTTTTGGTCTAAATTTCACAAAGCTATCGCAAAATACGCCATATTAGCTTGTTTAATTATAAAATAACAATTATTTTTTACTCAAAATTATTAATAATACTAAGGTATCACCACCACAAAGAAAAATATAGTATTCATTAAGTAAAAAAACGAGTTTCTATTGATCACATTGCATGTAACAATGTACATGCTTCTTTACTTACTGAATACTCTATATAATGTATTTTTATTTATTTTAAAGTTTAAGGATGAAATTATAAATGATTACTACTAATGAAATCTAATGATTTTATTTTATGACTAATAATTATTTCACACCTTAATAACTAATTGCTACTATTTTTTCACACCTTTATATCTAACTGAAACTTCCTCATAACATGAGGAATCCTTCTTTTCTAGTTACTCCACTCATTCATTTAATCATTCTTATCTCAACTAATCTCATTCTCTGCTTCTCTTTTTTGTCAACCGTCCAACATTCTAAACCATACATCATAGCTGGTCTCACTATAGTTTTATAGAACTTACCTGTCAGCCTCATGGAAAATTTTTATCGTACATCACACTAGATGCTTCTTTCTACTTCAACTACCCGCACTTAATCCTATGTATTACATCGTCGTCAATATCACCGTACTTTTGCATAACTGATCCTAAATACTTAAAACTTTCCACCTTTCCTATTACGTCCTCGCCTATTTTAATTGATCTCCTTATTATAACTACGTCGTGTTCTCCTTTGTTAAACTCGTACTCTATACACTCTGTCTACTACTTTATTATAAAATCCATCTATTATCATATCCATCATTGTAGAAAATAAGTAAGGGCTTAAAGTAGAACCTTGGTGCACTCCTACTCTTACTCTAAAACCTTCTGTTACTCCTCCTACACTTTTTACCCTAGTACAAGTGCCATCATACACATCCTCTATTATATTAGTGTACCTTTTCAGGACTTCTTTTCTCATTAATGCCCAGTTTAAAAATTCTCTCAGTATCATACGAAGTATCATATATCATATCTATCATACGCTTTCTCCAAATCTATAAATACCATATACAACTTTTTCTTCTTGTCCCTGAACTTTTCTATTAGTTGCCTCACACAAAATAATGGCTCCATCGTTGACTTACCAGTTATAAATCCAAACTGGTTTTTACATACCGATGCATCATTTCTTTATCTCTTATCTATTACCATTTCACAATTTTTTTTACTATGACTCATATTACACATTACTATTCCTCCATTTTTCTCTGTGGATAGGAGATAAGAATACATCCATGGTCTCTCTGCCAGTCGTAAGAGGCGACTAATGAGGTTGCGCCAGGTCGACAGCCGGCGTAAAATTTTTGTCAAATAGTATGAGGTTTCCTGAACAAAACTTAGCCGAATTGTCCCATCTCGGATGTACGCGGGGAAAACAGGTGAGAGGGAATAATGTAGTTAAAAACGGTGAAGGCCTAAGGAAAAAAGTGTTTGATACCAGCCGGATAACTTGTGCGGTAGCTGTTTCACCGGTCATGTGTACAGGTCTACCCAACGCTTGTAGTGTCAACGGTGTAGGGACATCACCACTTAACTCTAGGCTGGACTCGTGTATAAAAATTGCCGACCCCAGGTAGTTGGGATTAACGCGAGGAAGAAGAAGAAGACTATTCCTCCATTCTTTTGGCATTTCCCTTTCTAATAAAATTTTATTAAAAAGATCCTTCAACCACCTTATGCCAACACTGCCTAATATTTTCCATATTTTTACTGGCACTTCATGTGGGTCCTACTGCTTCATTCTTTTTCATTGGTTCCACAGCCTCCCACACCCCTTTCTCACTTTAATATAAGTTTAAATAAGGTAGGTATGATTTGATTTTTAAGCACCCACTGTACCTTAGTTAATGTATTAAAATTCTATAATAATAGTATTTCTAATTTAAAAAAAAAACCAAAACATATGTTTATTATAATGCAAATGATTAATAATAACTATAATAGATATAAATCAACAATAAATAAATAAATAGATTGATAGTTAAAATAATTTATAGATATACAAAAAATAAAATCTTGTTTTAAGCTCGTAAAGAATAATTTGAGCTTGTATGTTCCATAGAAAAATTCTCAAGGTATTTAAATAATTTTTTATAAAATGACATCAATTCCCTAAAAGAATAAATAAATTCTAAGTAATTAAATTTAAAAATATCTTCTCAACTTCGCATCGAAGCTAAAATGATTTGAAGTTGATTATTTAAAGAAAATATATTCACCTTTGAGCAATGAACATTATAAAAAAAACACGTATCTGCAAAATTCGTGTTGAGTGGTATTTATATTATAAGAACTTAATATTTTCGTAAATAAAAAAAAAATAATTATTACTGTGGTTTATTTAATCCATCTAATTGTGCAATTGAAATCAATTTCATTTGTAATCCTCATATATGTAGGGGTCAAAATACTGTTATGAACACAATATCTAAATAGAGAATAAAAATTAATATGCACAGATTAACACTGAACAAAAGACTGTCGATAAACTTCAATCGAAGTCAACACTTAACCTATATTTATCTTACGAAAAAATACCCTAAATGCCGAGGGTATTTGCCCTTTTATAGTGTGGGGGAAACATTTTCCAACAGATGAACTCCGCGTAGAACCTGTTTTGCGGGTGGACCAAACTTGGTGCGGCGCCACCACAGAACAACCGGACTAATCTAGTAAAATCCCGTCGCTTACACTTTCGCCATTACGTTACTGATGTTTCGAACCAAAAAAAAAAAAATGTTTAAAAATGACAATTAAGAAAAATACTAAAATGGGCATAATAGTGTGCATTCAATCTGATAAACTTGTTATAACTCGTTTCTTATCTATATTGTTTAAAAATTTTAGTATATATTACTTATAATGATTGAAGTTTACATCAGAATAAAATGTAAGGAGTGCACAAAAGGATATAGTCTATTAGTCTTTAGAGGTGATCAACTGCGTCCATTATTAAAATATAATCGAAATAATCGTGATTTTATTGATAAACAGAACGTTCAATTTGGTCCTTCTGTATTTTTTGTTTGTTTAAGTCCTTATGTATACAGAGTGTTCAGTAAGTAAGGAAACGGGTCAATTGTTACAAACAATGAGAAAAATAGAAACTCGTTTCCTTACTGAACACTCTATATAAACTTACACTTCAGGTTAGCACTCTATGGATGTAGCTCGAAAAATGATGCTCCTTGTCAACATATCCAAGATTACAATTGACAAAAAAAAACGTCTTAATATGAAATTGCTTAATTTCATAACGCTTATTTCAAAATTGGGTTATTCTCCTTACACCATAGGCTTTTTTAGTGAAATTTTTTGTGCATGACAAAAATATTTTGTGTTGATGTGCAAAAACTAAAGTCTAGTTGATTTCATGTAAAAAAGTAAACCAATTTAAAAAATTTGGCTGACTAAATATAAATATGGTTTTCATAAATAATAGGAGACTTATTTTTAAATTGAATAGACCATGTCTCCAAGCTTAAACACGTTGATATCTTTATTAAAAATAAACTAGACTTCGCCTAGGTGGGTCTCCGCCCCAGACACGGGGCCCTCCAAGTCTTACCAGCCTTCAGCGCCTCTTCGGGCCGTCATCATAAGAAGGCCACTGATTACGGTAGGAGTACCCGGCTACGCCTGTCACGATAAGTGTTTTGCAGAAAAAATATTACATCAAAATCAGTATAACAAAAATATATTAAATATGTTATTATTAAAATCAGTAAAATTCAAAAAGAGAATATAGTAAAATGTATTGGGTATAAGGTTGACGTTTGTTAATGAGGTATTCCCTTTAGGCGCATTGAAAAATTATTTTAGGAGGGTATTTAATATTTTTTTACTTTGTTAAACATGCTATAGAATTTTTTTTGCTAAAAAACAAAATGATGATCAAAAAAAAAGGACATTAGGTACTTATTTCATAGAAGTTGCCTGAAAAAATATCGATAGCGCCGGTTCAAGAGGGGCTCATATCTCCTTTAAATACACCCCTGGTATACACAAAAATTATTAATATTCTAATTATAATAATCGTGTTTATATTATAGAATACGTGGGACTATGTAAAAAATTTAATTTTGATAAAAATATTGGTAACTGTGATTTAACGTTGGACAGCATAGTTGTCATAGATGAATCCCAACTTAAACGATGAACTCATAGACTCATACATCATATATGAGAAAAAAAAGATTATTAATAATGTACTGTTTTGATAATGAAAGTACAAACTAAAATAATTATGACCGTCTAGAAATTTATATGTAACATATAACATTCCTCGATAATATATATATA